ATGCCACATTTCTCCTCCCTTTAGTTGGAACTACCCCAGCTGGCCTGGTATCGATCAACTGGTCGGCGTACTCGGCCTGAACGGCGACATTGCGGAGTCTCCGATTGATTGGTATTCTGCACCTCTTCCAACTCAGTGACTGGGCTTGTCGATGTGTCGGCTGGCGGAACCGAGACAGAGCGGGGACGGACATGGTCCTTGTGCCGAATGACTACCCTGCCGTCTGGTAGAGCCACTTCCGTATTTTGTCCCACAACTTCGCGCAGATCTCCAGGCTGCCAGTTCGTTTCGTTGGGCAATTTGATATAAACCGGTTCGTTCTCACAGAGTTGTCGATCGACCGCCCTCCGATCATACTCGGCCTTAGACTTATCTTGTTTGGCCTCGACACGTAGCCTCTGATCGGGAAACAGCAAGTCTAACCGTGTCCTTAACCTCCGCCTGAACATTAGTTCACCGGGGCTCTTACCAGTCGTTTCCTTCGGTGTGGAGCGATAACCAAAAAGGAATTTGTCTAATCTTGTTCACAATGGAGCCGGCACTTGTTTTCCAAACCCGTTCTTGGCTGTTTAGACCGCCCTTACAGCAAAGACATTAGAAGGTGGATGGTAAGGGGACCGACTTCACATGACGTATGCCGTTATTTTTCAAAATCTCCTGAAATTCCTGACTAGTAAACACCGAGCCATGGTCTGTTTCCAACGTGTGCGGTATACTGAAGGCTGTAAAGCACGCTCGCATGCATGAAATCGTAGTCTCTGACGTGGCTCGTGTTAGCAGGAAAGTTTCGATCCATTTCGAGTAAGCGTCGATCAAGAGAAGAAGCACCTTCCCGTCGCGTGGGCCGAAGAAGTCAGCATGTACGCGCTCCCATGGTTTACTAGGCCATTTCCATGAGCTGAGTGGTACAGCAGGGGCGCTTCTTTGTGTGCTTTGACAAGTGTCGCAGTGTCGACTTAACTCTCCAATGTCTCTGTGAATATCGGGCCACCACACATAAGATCGCGCAAGTTCTTTCATCCTCGTTATTCCCTGCTGAGTTTCGTGCAGCTCTTATAGAACATCTGGACGCAATCGGGGTGATATGATCGCTCTGGATCCCCAGAGTAGACATCCATCTTCAAGACTAAGCTCGGAGCGTCGAGTAAAGTATGGTAGCAGTTGCGGCTCACATTTATCAGGCCATCCCTGGGATACTAAACGCTTGACCTTGGCAAGTAGTATGTCGTTCGGTTTCATGACGGATATCTGCGCTTAGCACCGGATTTCCCTCTAAATGCTGAAGTAAATTAACCAGTTCAGTGGATTTCAATCGAGTAACTGACTTAACGCTAACCGGCTCAGAGTGTCGGCAACTCCATTCGCTTTCCCAAGAGCATATGAGATTTTGTAGTTGTAGGCCGGAAACAGTAAGGCCCATCATTGCATACGAGGGGATGTCATCTGCTTGATACTCTTTACCTTACCGATCAAAGGTAATCACGGTTTGTGGTCTGTAAAAGTTTCAAACTTTCCTCCCCAAAGGTGTTGATTAATTTTCTTGAACCGAAAGATAACTGCTAAAGCTTCCTTGTCTAGCTAGGCATAATTCCTCTCCGCTGGTGCGAAGTTCCTGGATGCAAAAGCTATGGGTCCTTCGGTCATGTCATCCATTTTGTGAGATAGCACGGCTCCGAGCCTGGTGGGTGATGCATCGCACCGGAGAGTACTCGACCTCTTTGGGTCAAATTGGACTTACTTATAGCCAGCTTGACAGCAGCATAAGCATTTTATTCTTATGGTGACCACTGCCATCGCGTATTTTTACGAAACAATGCATACGGGAGTGCGAATGAAGTTGCTAGCTGGGGCGAAAAACGACTGTAATGAGTCACCATCCCGAGAAATGATTGCATTTCGGGTATGTTACACGGTGTCGGCGACTCAAGAATGGGTTGAATTTTCTCCCGTAATAGATGTAGTCCATGTCTGTCCAAATGAAACCCCAGGTACTCAACGCTATCGGAGAAAAGGACACGTATCATTTGAGCTTAAGTCCTCTCTCTTGGAGGCACTCCAAAACAATAGTGTGTGCCGTCAGATGCTCTTAATCCGTACTGCCAGTAACCCAGATATCGTCCATGTGAGCACACTTCAAGTACACCTGACTAAATTGTCTACAATTCTCTGAAAAATCGCGGGCGCAGAATGTATTTCGAACGGTAATCAGTCATAGTGAAGCAACCCCAAGTGTGTATTGATAGTCGTAACTTCCTTAGCAGGTTCATGAAGCTCCACTTGAGAATAAGCGTTGCTCAGATCAAGTTTGAAGAACTATTGTCCACCCGACAAGGTTGCATAGTAATAATAACTAATAAATCGCCATCTGCAAACCGTGACGGCGCTTCGCTGCCACGCAACCAGCATCAGTCGCGCGTGGGCTGAGTATACCGCGAGGACGCCCGCCCCTACGCGGATTCGAACCGGTGACCTTATGGTTGCAAACCAGACGCGCATACCACTTGGCCACCGACCGACACAAGGTTGCATAGAGGTCATCTATTTGTGCAATAAAATAGTTTTCCGTAGTCTTCACTTGATTAACCGTCAGTTTGTAGTCACTACAAATGCGAATCGAACCATCTGGCTTTTGTACCGGAACGATCGGTGCAGCCCAGGATGAATGTGATTATTCCGTCTTTTTGAAGGCACTGCAGCTCCGACACTACCTTCAGACGGATCGCAAACGGCAAGCTTCTTGCTTTGAAAAATTTCGGTTGCGTACCTGGCATGATGTTGAAACGAGCTTGGAAATCACGTGATTTCCCGGGCAGATTTGCATCAAAAACAGTAGCAAAAGCTTTCAAAAGTGTGGGCAAATCGGGAATGCGGTCCACCTTTTTGACATTTCGAAGTATTTCCGGCATGTATTTCAAGCAATTTCTGGCAAGCAGGTTTGGGCCATTGGTGCTAACCACGATCAAGGGAAGAGTCAACGTATCGCTTCCATGATTTGCCCTCACATCACACGCACCCAATACATCGAGCACTTCTCCCGTGTAAGAACGTAACGTAGACTGAGTCGGTGTCTGAATCAGATCAGGCTGTTCGCCTGTTGATCAAGGTGACTGATGCCCCGGTGTCGATTTTCAAGCGCATTGGCTGGCCCTCTCTGTCCAACTCCCAAGTATATGGGGGTATCCCCATGATATGAGATATGGTAGTGTGTGATATCAAATACGATATGGAATCGTCAGCGTTTTCCACTGACCGAACAGCATTTTGTGCAGGGCGCGGTATCGATCGCTGGTAAACCGTCGAACGGCATACGCGTGCAAGAGGTCGAACTTGGCCGCATTTGTGACAGGTAGATTGCTTGTGTTTACAGTCAGCAGCGTTTTCATGCCTTTCACTGCATCGGTAGCAAGTAGAAGAACGTTTAACGGTTAGCTGAGGACGCGATTTAACAGCGTGAACTGCGTCGGGAAGAGAATCGTTCTGATAGTGAACCAATTGTTGCACCAAGTTCTCGCGTTGTCTGACCAGCGCACATGCTCTCTCCCAATTGTTTTTTCTCATCTTAGGAAACTAGTCGTTCCCTGGCTTTATCGTCCTGGATACCAATCAACAGACACTTGATAACCATTGTCTCTTCAACCTTCGTGGGTGGAATTTCATTATAACGGCAGTCTGGAAGGGATTGTTGTATACGGTTGATGAATTCATTAACACCTTCCTCTCCCTGTCGTTACCGAAAAACTCAGGCGTCGTGAAGACATGCTGCCGCGGCCCCCAAAGGCGCTCGATTGCATTAAGTCTGTCGGACAAAGATGTTTTCATACAAATGCAGTGCATCACAATGCCTTTGACCTTCTGCGCCAACATGTCTCAGGAGTTTGACAGATTGGGTTTCGGTAAGATTAATGTGAGGATTTGTTACTGATAATAGTTCAAGGTACTCGCAGAAGGTTCTCTTCCAGCAAATCCAAAGCGCTTAAGTTGGCTTACAAGATGCATCCTTCCAAAACGGTTCAGGTGCAGTGAGCTGGCTCATAGCAAAGGTATCCAAAATTGATCTCCGTCGCCATTGTTACAACTCGGTCCGTACTGCACCACGACACAGTAGAACGCAGTATTCTGCCCGTAGCGCATGAAAGTAGAACACGTCAGTTTCAACAAAACACAGAATGTATTGTATCGCCACAAAGACAACGCTTCGCATAAGTTCAGACAGTCTAATCAATGGTTAGCTGGCATTAACGCACACACGCACTGACTCTGGTGGATCCAACCAATAGGAATAGTTTAATCGATGACTGGCTAACGTTGGACTGACACACTGCGCAGATGCCACAGTCACCCAACTGCAAACCCCTGAGAGCTGCTGCAGGCGAGCATGATGCGCTTAATCTTTGCCTCCATGGTCTCATAGCGGTGTGACTGAGAGATGATGAAGTCTCGAACCTGCAAGCATATCTTGAGGTGTTAAGACGTGAGCTTGCATACTTAACGTAATCTGTCGTGGTTTTGTGGTTACAAAATTTAGTCGCAGGATGAGCCAACCACGAAAGGGGCTCTATGTTCCAAAAACATGGGACGGAAAGAGAGATGCAACATTAGCTGCGGGAGACTGCGTTACGGTCTACAGAATACTTGGTAAAGAGAGGCACAAAGGAATAAAAGGTATCAGCAGTACGCCGGTACGCAGTACCGACGCTTCGCTGCCGCGCAACCAACACCGGTCACACGTGGGCTAAGGATACTGCGATGGTCGTCCGGTCACCTACACAGACTAAGACTCGCACCCTCAGATTACACGGCAGGCTTGTGATCCTTAAGGCTATGGGTATGTATCAAGTAATGCTACGGTAGGTAAAAATAAACCGGCCGATATGCACAAATATATGGAATGGGCTCACTGAAGAGAAAACCGAAATCTCGGGCCCTTAGACTCTTCCGAAGTCGGGGTCAACAGTTTAGTGGGTACCCAGATATCGATTCCAAAGGGCAGAGTTACCGAAAAACTTATATTTGCACGGCAAAAGGTTCCCTGTTTGCCTGGCTACAAAAGCAACACTGTGGACGCTGCTGGCTAGGTGGGGTCGAAAAAAGCTCCGCACGCGGAGCGATAACGCGTTGCAATCGAACCCAGCAACCAGTTCAACAATCCGCACCGGTTGCCTAAGTGTACAATGAAATAGTAATTTTACTTAGATCTTCACACAGGCAAACCGGAGAAATCTCTGGACTGCTACCTAGGATGCCCCTCTCTTTCTGAGTGCTGACACATGCTAACTCGAATCCTAAGTTTGTCTGATCTCTAACTCTTCGTCAGCCTAGTATAATTGACCGAAGATGCATGAGACTTGCCATGTTATGTTCCATCTCGTCTCGATCACATCACCGAATGGGTGACGTATTTCTTCATCTGCCGTTTTGTGTCTATGGACTTGCCACCCACAACTTATAGCAGTGGGCAGCAATCTTTATTTTTTATTCGTAAAGTGACGCATCTTTATACCGTACGAAACTTGTTCGACGGTTTCTCAAATGTCACTTGTCATTTTCGCGTCTTCTCCGTCTGTGTGTTGCTTGCTCGGTACGCGCTTTAATTCACTCTGCTCGGTTTTGTCCTCTTCTATACCGTCTTCAGCCACGTTCATCTTAACTCAAGATTGGCCGCGTCAATTCTTCACCGTCCTTATTATCCGCGTGATCATTGCAACTCGCTTGGATGGCCTTTGGTTCACTTTCTTTTTTACTAGCTGTCAGTGGTCACCGTTTGCTCACTGGATGGACCGCCATTGTACCAGGTGTCACTAGTGCAGACTCGTTAAAGCACATTCCATTCACTGACATCTGTTCGAGCCAATCCGTTTCGTCTTTATTCGTGACCATGCTGTGCTTCGTTCTCCATAGCCCGATCCAGTTATGACTTGTCTGTCTGGCTCGTACAGTCGGGCTCAGCTGACATCGGTTGTAATTGGTGGTTGCCCTCCTTTCTGACTGCGCTGCATCGGTTACATTCATACAAAGAAACAGTTATCATCACAGTTACGTGCCGTTTTTGGACCTCATTGTGGTCTTTGCTGCCTCAGCCATGCGCTCTTCTTGCCCGCGAGCTGGCTTTTTCGGCGTGTATTATATGCTTATGCTACGCCTAAGTGAGTGAAACCTTGTTGGCGTTTGATCCTTGACATGGCAGAAGAGAGTCCAGTTACCCCCTGTCTTCATTCTACGTGGGATTCTCATGACCGTCTACATCAGTGATTGGATTCCGTATCACATCATACAGTCACGAAACTATTGCCGTGTCTTCAGTTCTCAAGCACTGTGACTGAAATTCAGATTATCGTCACTGTTTCATTAGATCCCAATCATCCCACTTTCTGTCACTCCATTTTTGACTTAGACACAGTGGCGTAACAACTACTTTTGTCGCCCCGGGCAGTAGTACAATTTTCGCCCTGACTGAGGGCAGAATAGGCGCGTGAAGGCCACGCAATCGGCTCAGGGTGAAGTGCACATTAGTTTTCAATGAAGTGGATGATCGTTTGCGACACGGAGGTAAATGGGGTGAAAGTGACCACAATGGTACAAGTAAAGGGATCGCTGGGAAGCAAGTTTGCACAGGCTTGACACATGGCGCATAGGTGTTGTTAGTCATGCAGAATAACATTAACAATTTCAACCCTCATCTTATTTTGAAATATTGCTCTTTATATTTGGTATCGAACAATCAACGGCACTAAAAATCCGCCACCTGTCACGTGCCGCCCGGGGCGGATCGCCCCTATTTAGACATACATATTGCCTTTCACTATTTTGAGTATTGCGCTCGCGGACTTCACCTCGTTGATTTTCGCTAACGAATCCCAATTTTGCTTTACTTTTAGACCTCTTGTGACGCCGTCGATCTGAAGCTTCTTCAAGTGCATTTGCCATTTTCCTAATGCATCAGCCCCTTTCCAATTTTTTATCACTATTGAATATTCCTCCAGTTGATTTCGTTTTCTCTCTTTGCCTTATGTGACTGTATAGTGGTCCTAACAATACTTTCCATTTTTCCAGTAGTCTTTCATGTCGCCTAAATGTCATTCTTCATCCATCTTCGCTGCACTTGTTTTCGAACTTTATTTCGGTCCTTTCCTGCTGACTTCACTTCGAATCTCCGAGCCTGGAAATCGTTGAGTCTTAACTTGCGCCGCAATGTTTCGAAAAGATCTCTTGGTGCTGGTTGCGCTGCCCTCTTCAATGTCACTTTGTTCCGACTATCGTTTCGTCGGCAACTGTTTTTCACTGTGCTTTGCGAACCACTTGAGGATACTGCTATCCATCTGGAAGCCCCCAGTCAAATCACTTGGAATTCTATTGATTTGATCAAAGTTTTATGGTTCGAATGGTTTAATCTGTCATGTGCAGTGGTGGTGCGTTTGATTTTGTTCAACTTCGGAGTTTCAGGCCGTGTTACTCGCAGCTTTTATGAACATATCTATTCCTGTTTATCTCGGGGAGTTTGTGAATGTCCTTTCACATTTCACAGTGGACGGTGCTGAATTTAGGCAGCTTTATTCCCCCACGCTTATGCTGCTTACAACTTACATCATTCAGGTAAGCTACTCACTACCTTATGAGAAATTGCATATCAATAGCATAGCCGATTCATATCCCATTGGCGCCCTTTTTCATGAACAATTTGTTTATCTAATGTTATCTGTACCGCTACGCGCTAAGCTGAATCCATATGGGCCCTGGATTTTGGGGCTGCACTTTTTGTAGCCACGTGACTCACTTAAAGTTTGTAACAGGTAGTTTTCTTTACACTTCTGATATAAAATACATATGACACAGTTTGTAAGGCGACGTCGCCATTTCTCACGTTATTATCAATCACAAAAATGCTGCAATGATAGGGAAACGAACACCATATCACATGAGAAAGTAAATAACCAAAAGTTTGTGCTACCAGGATAGGCTTAGAGCCACAGTCAGCTCTTTTTGAATGCAGAGCAGCGGTCATTCGCGATCGGCAACGATAGCCTCCAGTAGTCTATGCATGTGAGGTTACTGATCGCGTATTAGGACTGGGAACGACTCGTCATGATCAACTTAGTGCCCCGTGGAGTAAGCAAGTGCTTTGTGACTACCGATGTGGCTCGGTTTCCTGATTCGACGGATTCCGTCGTCACAGACCCCATCTGGATCACAAGCTTGCCCCGAGGACGCGGGTTCGAACATGCGTAGGGACCGAGTGACCCTCGCAGTATCCTTAGCTTAGGTGCGACTGGCGATGGTTGCATGGCAGCGAAGCGTCGGTACTGCGTACTGCTGATGCCATTTTTCATCGATTCTGACACCTAGACTTCAATCAGTGCGCCCAACCTAGCTGTCCTCACAACTGCAGGTGACTTTGTATAGACAGTAGGACATGCGCTGCCTCGTCGTGTTCTAATCATACACAAACAGGTCTCGAGACCCAGAATGACGACGCAACTTCACGCCACTGGATCCATCGCCCCTTATCACGCAGATTGCCTTATTTGGCAGTCGACCTGACCGCCTGTGTTTCAACTGAAGTTCGTCGTTTAGCCTTTTACAACAGTTTTTGATGGAACATTGGGTTATCCGTCAAATCCGAACATCCTCAATCATCCTTCGTATGTTCATCAACCGACTGCCTCGTCCACATTTATTTAACAACAACGCGCTTTTTCAGCTGGGACCACAAATTGTCCGATCGATGAGGAAATATCTTACCACCTATCGTCTTCCTGGATAAGAGGATTCGTTCCCTTAATTCTACCTCCCAACCACCCGGTTTAATGACTACTTATTTGTCCTTTCTTAATTTATTAGATTTAGATGCTTAATGACTGAAAACGACAAAAAATTAAAATATGGCGTGTGCAAGATAACCAAAGATGCTCCGTTTTTGTCTTTTATTACGGTACAATAGTTGAAGTGTGTTGCTCACCTTCAGTTAATGTACCATGATGATAATACGGTGTTAAATCTGTCTTCTTTTAGTGGTTTCCATTTTGATGTTTGGCTCTACGTCTATTTACTGGACTGCTGTCTATACTACTACTACTCTTAATTTATTACTGCTGTTAACTGGGGTAGTTGGTCGAAGTAACCGATCCCACTGCATTTCAGTGTTTGGACCTTAGTTGATCACGCAACTGAGTCGAATGTTCGCGTTGTTCATGAAAAACACGACTTTACTAACTAAAATGTTTCCAGGTATGGCATATACTCCCAATAAATTTTCGTGAGGGTAGGGATACGGGCACTTTTAATCCAGCTTCCCAGGTACTACGTACCTACTGATCCGGGTTTTACTCGCATCTCCGTCCGCTTGGCTACCCCTGATAACATTTCGGTGCGTCACCTGATTGACCTCCCTATTCAAACGTATCTGGAACGAAGAGCGTGTGCCGGCTAATTGGAGCGAATCGATTATAGTGGCAATATACAAAAAGGGCAGTCGAACAGTCTGTTCTAACTACAGGGGTATTAGCCTAACGCCAGTTGTGACAAAATTACTGGCCTCGATTATCGTTCGTCGCCTCACTGCAGAACGGGAATCTCAGATTAGGGAAGAGCAGGCCGGTTTTCGCCCAGGACGTGGCTGTATAGACCATATATTTACTTTGCGGCAGGTGCTAGAGCAGCGCCACGCATACCGCAGACCGACAATAGCTGTGTTCCTCGATTTCAAGAGTGCGTTCGATTCAGTCGATCGATCGATTCTGTTCGAATTACTTGCGCGAAAAAGGTGTTCCCACGAAATATGTGAACATCCTTCGTGCTCTATACTCGAACACTACAGGCTGCGTCAGGGTCTATGGTGCCCTATCGGATAGCTTTTCGACTACAAGTGGCGTTCGTCAGGGTTGTCCGATTTCCCCGTTTTTGTTCAATTTCGTCGTGGATTCTATCATGGAGTGTTCCCTTGCGGAATCTCATGATGTGGGCGTTGAAGTGCTGCCTGGTGAAAGGTTAGTTGATCTAGATTATGCGGACGATATCGTCTTGCTTTTCGACAATGTTGAGGCGGCACAATCAACCCTGAATAGCCTGTCCAGAGTGGTCCCATTATTTGGTATGCACTTCGCACCTTCAAAGTGCAAAGTGATGCTGCAGGATCACCAGCCACTTGATGACCCCTTGACGCTTGCTAATGAGGAACTCGAGGTGGTTGATCAATTCACTTATCTTGACAGCTGCATCAGCAATGATGGGCGCATAGAAGCTGACGTGAGCTCACACATTGCAAAGGCCAGAGCTGCCTTGTTGAACCTGCGTCATCTTTGGCGACAGAAGGGAGTTTCCCTCTGTCTGAAAGACCGTGTATACAAGGCCACAGTGAGGGCCGTTCTGCTCTATGGTAGTGAAACTTGGCCCCTTCGGTCTGAAGATCTGAGGCGCCTTCAAGTCTTTTGACCATCGTTGTTTACGATGCATTGCTGGTGTCGGATGGCACCAGTGTGTCCGCAACGATGATGTGCGTGGGCGAGTACTAGGAAGTGATAATCATGCTAGCTCCCTAGAACAACAGATAGCACTGAATAAGTTACGTTGGCTTTGGCACGTGCTACGCATGCCTGGTCACCGCTTACCTAGGAGGGCCTTGTTTAGTCTGCCAGGTGTAGGGTGGCGCAAGGCTCGCGGTGGACAGAAGTTGACTTGGCAGCGGGAAATGAAGTCACTGACGACCAAACTGGGTGCCGTTGGTCCGTCTCGCCTTCCGGGCTGGAGTCCACGTGACTCGCCTTTTGCTTGGCTCGAAACTTTACAGGACATGGCTCGCAACCGACACCAGTGGCGCGTCTGCTGCCGTCTCCTAATTGGTTTGCCTGTTATCTGCGGGGTAATGGCTGATTATGACGCGTGGCAGTGAAAGCCGCAAGGAAGCTGTCTTGCCGATGCCGCCTTATCTTTGCACGATAGCCAGCTGTTTGTGACGGTATGTTGTCTACACAAGGTGTAGGCGCCTTGACCCAGAATGTTTGCTTAGGGCATTAAGGTTTTCAGGTAAGTCCCCCTTCTCCCCCTCTTCTTATTCTTTATTTCATAGGTCCTCATAGTTGTATGGCAGCGAAGCATCAGTTCAAATGGCTGATGTACTGCTTTTGATGATGATGATGTCACCTCGATCTCAGTCCTTGATTGCTGCACGTGTGTACCAACTGTGTCTCATGGTCACTGCACACAGTCTGTCATTGCAACTAGATAGACACGACATGAGTTATGGCAGTCGACGGTGGCAGAAGTCATGTCCAAATGTGAGTTAATCACTCGTATAGACCACGTGTACGGACCTCGCGTTCTGGAAGCTAGACAGCTGTCATAGTTTCTGAAGAATAATCTCCCCTTTGGAGGATGCCAACTCAAGTTCATGCTAATTTCATACCAATTCACTACCACTACATGCCCATCGCATTTTAGACCCTGCTGTTTATTACAATTGACATCTAAGTGATTTGTATGTAGGTAGCTATGTTGTGCAGATCTTTTCCACGCATTATGTACTCACTCCTACGAAACACCTTTTGCTCGCTTTTCTTAAACAACCATTCGAGCAGTCGCTTGCCACCTTCAGTTACATTGCGCTCTTGGGTGCGGCTGGGGAACGAATCGCCCGTAATCTGAGGGATGCGCTTTTCGTGAAACTTATTTACCGCAAAATGGCCTACTTCGACTCTCACAATTCCGGAAAGCTCGTAGACAGGTAAGTATATTGAATCTTCCACCATATGCGTTATGTATATTCGTGTTTCTTTGCTGGATTGCTTTACTCTGTCGCGTTACGGCTAGCATTCGACTGCTGCTCGTTTCGCCCTCGTTTACTAATGTTCCTCAACAGTGTCCACTTTTCGACTTGAGAGTGGGAGCCACGACTGTCGTTTATTTCCCCCATGTTTTTATTACGGCTGCGTGCCACAACTTGACTTGTTTCCTACCGTGCCGTAGCTTTAACCGCGATTATTTTCCCTTTGGTGTATAATGATGAAGCGAGCTGTCATAGATTTTAGATACACTGGTTGATATGGCTAGGAGCCAACCTCAGTGGCGTTCGTGCTGTGAGTTTCTTTGTCCCACCCCATCCCTCTTAGCCTCCCCCTCTAACCACGATCTCATTATTTAGCATTTTATAATTTTGCATAGTAACTTATTTTTTTCTGATGCATAGTAGCCGGCAGGTAGCTTACCAGAACAATGCCCATCCGTTACCGGTAGCTCAGCTGGTTTGCACCTGTTGTATTTATTTACCTTTTTCTTTTATGTATTGTGGCACAGTAACTGAGATGTTTCCCACCTCTAGCTAACGTGTATAGTATGTTATAGATTTTATCGGATTTACTAATTGGAGTAGATAGTTTTATATTGTAATGAATTCAAATACCGAATGTCTAGTACCGAAGTGTTCCTGTGGAATGTGCATTGGGCCTAAAAGTTTGTCACTTTCCAGTTCACGTTGATTTCTTGGGTTCGGAAAAGTTTGAACGCAGTCGGTAAGTATATAAGTTATGTCTCCCCTGACTGTTCACGCCTCCATGACTACAAGAGGAACACGAAGATGAGCCAGGACCGAGTTGTATGCAGGAGAACACTGCTTCCTTAGGTAGGGTACAATAGTTTATGAAGCAAAGCTACTAAAGCATGTTGGAGCCAGCCAACCTTATAGGAAACAACGAATAGTACGAGCGAATTAGAAATGGCAAAAGTAGAAACCAGTCAGGCGAGTTTGAGGAAACGGCATTAGCGGAAATAGATCCCTGAGATAGCATCTATTATGAACGACTTAGGCCAGCCAATAGAAACAAAGGAATGATGCGTTTAGACAAACGTCAAGAAACAAACGGTGGCGAAACGAAGGCAGACGACTAAGAATTGTAGCAAAAAATATATGTCCACTGAGCACCCCCTAACACTATTTGGCCGGCAACCTCTTACTTTTGACATGGAAATCAAGGGAACTAGTGAATACTTGCATGTTTATGTCAAACTAGAAGGACAGTCACGACAGCCGAGTTCTAGCTCCAGTTCGAAACGCGTTTTTCGGAGATTTTCAATACTCCGAGGTCTCTGTTCACGCGATGGTGTAATTCATCACTCCACCATCTTATGCCGTAAAGGTTTGTGACCATACTCGATGGGGACACTATCTGGTTCAACTGCGGTTTGGTGAGGAACCATCAAAACTCTGCCACTCCACTAACGTTTTTTCGGCTTCCATCTGATCACTACCTTCCATCATCCTCGTGGCCCGCACCGCAAAGGTAACTCTGCTTCAGCGCTCGCATCTCATAATTAAATTACTTATGAATGGAAGGATTTTGGTGAGTATTTTTGTTCGTCGCAATCAGCCGACAATTCAGATATGTCGACCAGCTATCCGGAAAAGCACCAGACGGCCGTTTCGCCCTATTGGGGCTCGTCAGTGGTGCGCATCCTTCGGTCCTCTGCGGAGGATCGAACCCATGACTGCCAGTGGCTCTTGCCAACTAGCCCGCAGCTTATGCAACTGCGTCATGGAGGACGGTATCTGACTATCGTGAATTGTTAGCTAAATGCGATATAGCCCGACCGATCCTCCACTGCCATGCAGGCACCTGCCATGCAGATGACAGCGGTCGGCCTTCCGGCGTCAGGACTTCCCGGTTACGGCAGCTATGAATCGACATAGCATTTTGTGGAATCCGATGCGTCGGGCTATATCGCATTTAGCTAACAATTCACGATAGTCAGATACCGTTCTCCATGACGCAGTTGCATAAGCTGCGGGCTAGTTGGCAAGAGCCACTGGCAGTCATGGGTTCGATCCTCCGCAGAGGACCGAAGGATGCGCACCACTGACGAGCCCCAATAGGGCGAAACGGCCGTCTGGTGCTTTTCCGGATAGCTGGTCGACATATCTGAATTGTCGGCTGATTGCGACGAACAAAAATACTCATAATTAAAACCTGAGCAGTATCTGGAAGAGGTTTTGGAGTGGATACCTACTGTACTGTAATAACCATTGACTTCTCTTATTTGTGTACCGAGAACCTTCGGCTACATAGCCTTCTGACACAAGCGTTTGCATCACATCTCTGCGAACTAATCGATCGGAACGATACTCTGGAATCAAATTGATTGTATTAAGATCGGCCACGGATGGTGCACATCGATGGAAATTTATTCGTCACTCAGGCGCACTTGTTTGTATTTAACCGTATCCGTGCTCATCCGCACTTTGCTCACTCTCCCAGTCCCAGCAGAATGCTTAACTTGTCGTCACCTGAACTCATGGTCGGACAAACGCCGCTGTCAACCCTAGTTAGATAAGCGATAAATGAACCAAATGGGATCATTTCTCATGCGTTTTGATGCAGCAGCTGTTCCATACAGGTGTGTCTATTTGAACAGTTAATGCAAATATATAGCTTCCGTTAGTTTCAGCAAAATGCCCCACCGTCTCACCGTTCAACTCCTTTAAGTGTTTGTTCGTTTTATATCACACAGGCCTGTCACGTAATCTCTCCCTATGTGACCGGCAATTTTGTATTACTGATCTTATTAGTTGTCATAATTGTACCTCTCTTCAGTTCTATTCAGTGAATTGCTGATTACTCTAGGGTAACACACATCCATTAGATCGGATCCCATAAGCTAGAAATCCGCAAGCAAATCTCGTTGGTGGTGAATCAGAAGAGTGTTCCAGAACAGTCGTCGTCATCATCATACACGTTAGCTAGAGGTGGGAAACACCTCAACTACTGTGCCGCAATACATAAAAGTAAAAAAGTAAAATGCAACAGATGCATGCTAACTGAGCTACCAGCAACGGATGGGCATCGTTCCGGAAAGCTAGCAGCCGGCTACTATGCAACAAAAAAGGTTTATCATACCAAATTATATTAGCGTAAGAATAGAGATCGTAGTTGGAGGGGGAGGCAAAGAGGGATAGGGAGGGACAAAGAAACACATCACAAACGCCACTGAGGTAGGCTCCTGGCTATATCAACAAGTGTATCCAGCATTCATGATGCTTCTTCACCGCAGTTGGGCTAAACCAACTTACACTTAAACTAGGTCTTTTTAATGTGGATAAAATTCATTACATTTTATTTTATTTTTGTTCTGCCTACTTGATAATCTTCTCCCAACTTACACACGTCGCTCATGCTAATTGTGGTAAACTTGCGTAATTTTATCGCGTGGTATTTTCTAAAATAACTTTCGGACATTTTGCACTTATCGTGTATTCACCTTTAATCAATTCCTTCCATATGCTCATTTAGCGAGTATTTATGTCGTCATATGCATTTACTTTACTCGATATCGGCATTTCGAATGATTGGCTGTTGTTTGACATCCCAGGTGTGGCTGCGCTTGATGTGCATGTTGACAAGGTGCCTACCTGTCTATTACCCACTACCTCGTCCATACTGGCTCCAGGAGACAGTTGGTCGTTGCTGGAGGGGACGGGGTGCACGGTTCTTGTGGCCGTGCTAGGCTCAAAGAGTGGTTCCATGCACTCAGTGTGGAGCGGACTACGGTCCAGCCACCGTCTTGTGTGCGGTTGATTCCCCAGATACAGCGTGCTTGTGTTTGCCTGTGAAGGAGTGGGCTGGCTCCGTTGATGGAACGTGGCTCCCATCCGCATGCCTCCCGGTCTTATTCCCTCGGGTTTACACTGGATATGGGGTGTGTGGATGGAGCTGTGGGTGGTGCAGCCCAAGCCATCTATGGTCCCTCGTTAGGCGCAGGCGTCCTGTGGCTGGCAACAGTGACAGGCAAATCTGAAACCGGATGCCGCCAACCATCCAGCCAAAGGTGTTAATCGTCTTTCAGACCTCAACCAGGAAGCCGAAACGCTCCAACCGAGGCCAGCTTCGAAGTGAGGACCTTCATTCCTGTCGACCCAGTCAGCGCTTGGTCATCTCTCCTCTTCTTAAATCCACACCCCTGGCGCGCAAACAGTGTAAGTCACGGGAACCGGTGGGCTGGCATGCGTAACACGTGGTCGAGCCATCGGAGCCTGGTGCGTGAACTACCGGCGCTGAGCGGTTCATTTCCTTTTCCTGTGCTGTAAACAAGGCGTTGAACACGGTCGTTGCTTATTCGGTATTCTCACAGAACAGAGTGCAGGAGAATAACGTTTAGGAAGGTCAGCCGCACCATATAACTACCACAAACATGCGTCATGTGATCGCCCTGTCTCTTCTGGCGAATAAACTGGTTCTTGAAAGCCGTCTTATCAGCTAATCAGAACGGCCGGAGCGACCTTGGGACTATGGCAGGTACGACAGCCAGATTTTGAATTTTCTACCGTCAGTAACACGCTACTTATGGCATCATCATAGACCGATGCACTCTCATGTAATCCTGACTACTTTTGGCTACGATTTTATCCGGCTAACTGAGCCGTTCAGTTCCGCGGCAGTGAGTTAGTTAAAGCCCTAACAACTTCCTCATTCCTGGAGTTCTTTTTTCTTGGTTGCCTGCTCCGCCATAGCCATTAGGATAACCTCAACTTTTTCATATCATTTCCGACAGCATCTTTCATGGGTTTTTCATTCTTTCAACCGCACTATACCGGACATCCTTATCTGGACTCATCCATTACCGTCTACATCACATAAACATTTATGTGGGTCTCGCTTCCTCTGTTCCCTCCTCTCACACGCTGCTTACATTTTCACATGTATCTTAGAAGTACCCTTTACCTGTACACCCCCACTGTGATACCTCGAGACTTCAATCGCTGTGATTTGCTGTCGATCGAAACGAACGAATTTCCTGCAGTCCACTCTGTCATTTTTCGATATGAAGGAAATTTCAACCAGCAGATTCACTCGAACATCTATTTTGTATCTACATCAACGAACTTGTTTTTATGCGCTATGTTCTGCACAATGTCCCGTCACTTACTGCGGACTATTAGAACCTGGTATGGGCTTACGCAGTTCGTTCAAAGGCGTTGTTGGTCCTTTTTCTCTTTTTACGGTTTCAGTGAACGGTTGAGCCAAATTGGGCATCCACAGGTTACTTTGACTTTTCTTCGATCCTTTTCCGTTGCCTCGAATCTTGACAGTATGCTATTAACACTGCGGGCAGAATACACTCGTATGTGGCCGTCTTTGAATTTTTATTTGATTTCACCGATGATTTAGTATGACGTCAGTGATGATATCAGAACTCATTTTACATCTACGTGAATGAAGTCGTTGGTTTTCGGTGAACTTGTGAAGTACATGTCTGTTTTTTTAACTTCAGGCCACCTGTTTACTTGTTGTTCCTTATTCGATCGCTTGCTCGAAACCTGCCCGCCTTCTTAACACAATTAAATGTGCGTGAAAATGGCGGGGCGAGCGCACATCAATGACGCTGCTTTCCACACCTAATAAGTGCGCGAGCCGACTTCTGCATATTCACGCTTGGTGGGTGCTCCAAAACCTTACAATTAAGCGCTGCTCGCGGAGTTAAATGGCCTAGTGACCATAGCGATGGCCCTCCAACCACCATGTGCTGAGTTCCATTCCTAAATCAGGCTATCTCTGCCTAATGAGTCCAGACAAGGACGAAACGCGTTACGGACTGCAGAGATGGGTGAGAGCCACACCGAAACCCTCCACTTCGGATACGGTTCCATTTATCGGCATGATAGAGGTTAACTACAAAGTCAACCGATGCGACAATTGAGATTGCGTGTCGCAATCCGAAACACATGGCGGATGCTCCGAAACCCTACAAGCACACTTAGTTTTCCTCCCAATAAGGCGCACGAACTACCGCGGCCCTTTTCGGTCCTTTCCCTGTGGCTCTCTTCGTCTTTCCAACTATCCTAGTTCTCTTTTTGCAGGTGAGTACGGAGTTAGCTACAAATGGCATTCAGCTATGTGCAAACTACCCTGCATTTAAACACTTGCACATCCGCTGTAGTCACCTTATTTATTCACAACGCAGGGTCTGTGTGTGCATTTGAAGATGCGATCCTTCTTTCGACCAACTTACTCGCCCGACCTTGGCCACATCGGTGATCTCTGTTGATCAACATCGATGGCTTTGTTGTTTGTCGCTTATCCTGCAACTGAAGCCCCCATCCTCATCTTTTTTTCGCAGACCCACAGCTGCCTTCGTCATTTCTTATTTCTATATTTTAGCATACTGTCTGACGTTCAGTCCTTCAAGAGCTCGTTCAAACAAGTCATATCTCACGGCCTGAGAGGTGTCACACAGGTTAGCGGGATATGTTGAATTGTTCCTAAAACGTTCTTTACTCTTATATCTGATGCGGTTGTCTTCCGTCCTTATTCGATGACTACTTGACAGCACCGTCTTCTTTCACCACTCCCACTGTCAGCTATCAGAGTAACAGTATATGCTTCTTCCTCCGCTACACGAAATGTGCTTCTTTCCTCTTCATCTTTCACTTTACTCCGGAATGATGATCTGCAAGCTAATCTGTGTCCTGCACCTGTTCTTCACGAGATTACGCACTATGGCTGTGTTCGTGGCGTTTAAACATTTGGTAGCACATGCAGCTTCCCCGCACTATGTTCAGGGGCTTAAAATACATTTGCATCATGCCTTCATCAGCCTATAGGAAAGTCGATGTTCCCATAAACCTTGTCTACCTTTGCTATTTACATTTCCTCTTGCTTTTCAGCTGCTTCCCAATTTCATTTTGATATAGCTCTGCTATGCTCATAAGACACTTTCTGCACCGTTGATTTCTCATGATTGCGTTCGTTCTTGCCAATGCTTCTATCCTCTATTTCGCCTTTATAAGCTTTCTCATTCTTTCTCCTATATGACACGCAGTTCCCAGCCCTCCTGCCACTTATTTGGAGTCTGTTCCATTCATTGACCCTAAACATTGGTTGTGTTTCCTGCTTTATACATTTTTACGTCACCGAATAGCTTTATAATTTGGTTAAACGCAATAGATCATTATAGATTGGGTTTACTCTTATCTGGCCACTGTATGTACTGCGAACATATGTTCTTTTTTTGACCAGCTCCTATATTTTGCATCAGAAAGCTGTGTTACTTCTTTAGCATGACATCATAGGTTTGAGTTGAGCCAGTTATCAAAATTTGCTTCGTTGGAGTCCCTGATTTTTTGTCTTCTCTTCCTTGCCATTTCGTAGACAGAACACCTCGACCACATTTCCCTCTGGAAGCTACTGGATTACTGTTGCGTACTTCAAAGTGCCCAGTTTGACCCGCGCCTCTAATATAGCGCTCTCGTAGCTCGTGCCGAAATTAACCGCGATCTTCATGACTACTTTCAAATGCCTATAAGTAGCCGTATTTTGCACGAATCTGAATCCAGCCATCGTTCGTTAACCTGCGACTTCAAACCTTCGATCGACTTCTAAATCCCCGTTCACGCTTGAGCCCTCTTCTAAACTTCCTAGTCTAGTGCACTTAGCTAAATGTCCTGTTCGAGGTAGCCTATTTTTACCCGCCGATAATGTAACCCGCCATAATCAGACTCGACCTTAACCTTGTGCGACGGTTTGCATATACCCTCGACCCATTGAGCTATACTGCGTTGTGTCCCAGGACGCCTTGAGAGCTGCTCCTACCAGGTTAATCGCTCCTTAGAAGTCAGACGAACTCACTCTCCCGATCCTCCAGATTGGGGTTTGAAATTTGATGGCGTCCATTTCCGTTAAAACTAAATCATGGCCACCTCCGCGCTGCTTTGCGGCGAGGCTTTTGAGCCAAATGTTTTGGTTAAGGACCCTAACCTTCCTCCTGTCTAGTTCTGAGTGCTCTGGCAGTATCTCAACCCACATGCAACCATGACTCCTTTTTCAAACTTCAACCATATCCTGCATCGGTTGCCGCGCAGAATTTCAAGGGACGCCTCATCTGCTGCACATAGCAGGGCGGATAAGCGAAAAAAATGCTACTGCTGGCGTCTCCCTTCTCTCTTTTCCACCTGTTTCTCTTACTCCCATCTCGACCCCCATTGCTAACCTCCCTTCCCTAATTTCCAGCGTAATTGAAAGCAGCCGTAATGCCACTGGATTCGAATCATCTACAGCTACCTTCCCACATCACCCACTGGACGCATCAGTAACAGTCTCTTATAAGGCCACGTTATCCCGTTTCCCTAGCGTCGTTCAACCTTCTTACCCTACGACAAATAGGTTAACAGGCTGTATACGCACTCACCTTGGACACACTAGACATTGACATGTGTTGCGTATCCGAAACCAGGATCAATGACCCCCATGGGGTTGTTGAATTAACTGTGCCCGGCTTCTCCCCTCGCTATTGGTTGCACGCATCTGGAGACGCTGATGCGGCCACAACTAGTCACGCGGGAGTGGGCATTGTTCTCAGCTTCAAGGCTAAGTCATCCTTGGTTGATTGGATTACGTCCCTGTTCGAAAATGTCTGGAAGGCAGTCCGTCTGACATCAGCTAAGGTTGGTTCACGAAGTAGTACGAGGCGGTGTTTGTCTGTGGTTTCCGCGTATGCTCTAATCGACTGCAGTTTTGCTGCTACTAAGGACACCTGCCACAAACTGAACACGCTACTGCGCAGTGCTACCGGTTCAGATATCATAGTACTTGCAGGGTTATGAATGCAAGTAGGTCGCCTGGGTTCTTTATTAGCTTTGCTAGATGGTAATTATGGGCTTGACTCCGAACGGACTGACAACGGCGTGCATCTGTTGCAACTGTTTACGGAGCACTAGCTGTTTCTTGGTAGCACCGCTTTTAGATACATGGAGCGCCGAAGTGCCACTTGGCGTCCTCCTGTAGTCGGCCAGCGATGGACCAAAATAGATTACATTGCCATAATTTACAGGTGGTCTGGTTCCATCCTAGATTGATAGTCATTCTGGAGTTCTTGCTTCGATTCTGATCAAGACTTGGTACGCTGTCCTTTTTTCATGAACTTTGCATGGAGGCGCACTAAGCGTCTCCCTCGATTGGCAACTGAGAAATTATCTCAGCCGTCGGTCATGCAAGCTTACCAAGTTGCACTGCGTTCCGAACTTGCGCCCCCTTGTCCTATTGATACAGCTTCCGTGGAATAGGATCTTGGCCGCCCTGTACGACTCAGCAGCATCTGATTGTGGTACTATCAATTGTTACCGCACCAATCATTGGATACCCGAGAGTTCGGTGAACCTGTTGGAATCCAGAAGAAACGTATGGCTGGCTCTGAGCACACTGTGACCAGGCGGGCACTGAAACGGAGCCTACGTACTGATAATGATGCCTGGTGGACCAGTTATGCCCAGGAAATGGAGGAGGCATGAGCTGTAGGCAGATATCGCAAGCCCTTCTAGGTGATCTACACCACTGGTCCCAGGAAACCAGGCGTTAGTGAGACACTCAGCGATATTGCGGGTACACTGATTCGTAATAGTGTGCGCCGTATGGCTCGCTGAGACGGCACTTTCAAGAGCACTTCAGTGGACTCCCTGCTTCCGAACCTCTTCCTACTCAGGTGATGCAGGATGAGCCATGGACGGTTAGTTTAGAGGCTCCATCAGAGACTGAAGTCCGCAACGTGATCACAGCCCACAATGCTTCCCGCGCTGCGGGCGCGGATTAGCTCGCAGCCGCACTATTTAAGGATGATGGTGAGATCCTCTACAAACCACTGACCTCTCTGTTCCAACATGTCTGGAAGGAGGAGACCGTCCCGACTAACAGCAGTGAATCGATTATAGTGGCAGTATACAAGAAGTGCAGTTGCACCGATTGTTTTAACCACTGGGGGTATTGGCCTAACGCCAGTTGTAACAAAAGTACTGGCCTCATTGCGGAACGGGAATCCCGGATTAGGGAAGAGCAGGCAGGTTTCCGCCCAAGACGTGGCTGTATAGACCACATATTCACTCTGCGGCAGGTGCTCGACCAGCGCCACATGTACTGCGGGCTGTATTCTTCGACTTCAAGGGTGCGTTCAGTTCAGTCGATTGATGAGTTCTGTTTGAAATACTTGCGCGGAATGGTGCTCCTATGATATATGTGAACATTTCACATGCTCTATACTCGACCACGCGTCAGGGTCTACGGTGACCTGTCGGATATCTTCCTGTCAACAAGTGGCGTTCGTCATGGTTCCCAATTTTCCCCTTTTCGTTTTAGGCTGCATCATAGGTTTCCCTTGCGGAGTCTTACGATGCAGGCTTCGAGGTGCTGCCTGATGAAAGGTTAGTTGATCTTGTTTGTGCGGACAATTTTGTCTTGCCGCTTATCGATATGGGGGCAGCGCTATCAACCCTGAATAGCCACACTTGCTTGATCCTATTATTTGGTATGCACTTCGTACCTTCAAAGTGCAAAGTGTTATTGCAGGACCACTAGCCACTTGCTGACCTCTTGATTTCGAGGAACTCGTGGTAGTTACTTATTTCTCTTACTTTGGCAGCTGCATCAGTAACGATGGGCGCCTAGCAACTAAAGTCAGTTCAGGTACTGCAAAAGTCAGAACTGCCTTTTTGCATCTGTTATCTCTGTGGCGTCAGAAAGGGACTTCTCTTCTCGAAAATGTCGTGTGTACAAGGCCAAAGTAAGAGCCATCCTACTCTAGGGAAGTGGGACTTGGCCCTCCAATCTGAGGACTTGCGGCGCCAAGTCTTTGATCAATGTTGTCTGCGAAGCATTGCTAATGTCGGATGGCACCAGCGTCTCCACAGCGATAGTGTGCGTAAACGAGTACTAAGCAGTGATAACCAGGCTAGTTCCTTAGAACAAAAATAGCACTGATTAAGTTGCCTTGGCTTGGGCACATGCTACGTATGCATGGTCACCGCTTACCTAGGAGGGCTATGTTTAGTCTGCCAGGTGTAGGGTGGCGCATAGCTCGAGCTGGACAGAAGTTGACTTGGCAACGTGAGCTGAGGTCACTGATAACCAAACTGTGTACCGTTGGTCCATCTAGCCTTCCGGGCTGAAGTTCACGTGACTCACTTTGTCCTTGTCTCGAGAATTTACAGGACATGGCTTGCAGTCGGCACCAGTGGCGTGTCTGCTGCCGTCTCGTAGTCTGGCTGCCATCATCATCAACAGCAGTACATCAGCCATTTGAACTGATGCTTCGCTGCCATACAACTATGAGGACCTATGAAATAAAGAATAAGAAGAGGGACAGAAGGGAGACTTACCTGAAAACCTTAATGCCCTAAGTAAACATTCAGGGTTAAGGCGCCTACACCTTGTGTAGACAACGTACCGTCACAAACAGCTGGCTATCGTGCAAAGATACGGCGGCATCGGCGAGACAGCTTCCTTGCGGTTTTCACTGCCACGCGTCATAATCAGCCATTACCCTGCAGCAAACGCACTGTAAACAGGCAATCCGGTTAGGAGACGGCAGCAGACGCGCGACTGGTGTCGGTTATGGGCCATGTCCTGTAAAGTCTCGAGCCAAGCACCGGGCGAGTCACGTGAACTCCAGCCCGGAAGGCGAGACGGACCAACAGCATCTACTTTGGTCGTCAGTAACTTCTGGCTGCCTGTTTAATGTGTGTTCAGTGCTGGGTCATCTACGGGGTAGTGGCTGATTATGCGACGGGGCAGTGAAAGCCGCAAGGATGCGGTCTTATATTTACACGATAGCCAGCTGTTTGTGATGCTATGTTGTTGACATGGTGTACGCGCCTTGATCCTGCATGTTTGCTTAGAGCATTCAAGTTTTCCGGCGTCTCTCTTCTTTTTCCTTTTTATTATTCGTACCGTAGGTAATCGTTGTATGGCAGCGAAGCTTCAGTTCAAATGGCTGATGTACTTTATATCATAATGATGATGCTTGTAAAGACTATACGAATCCTAGACTTGGTAGTCGCACGTGATGGAGCAAGGCACTGAAGGCTAGTAAACCTGTACTATACGCACGATCTGCGCCGCGAACTTCCAACATACATTCCTGTTACCGTAATTCTATACTACAATTTAGAAACAGTATTCAGCTTACGAATAGGTTTGCAATCCTAGTAGGGAAGGGTATAAACAGCAAGACGTACGGCAGTGTGGCAAAACAATACTGCGTAGCAATTTGCTACTTGGCAGGCTGTCAATGCCGAATTGTTTGGCCTTCACGAGTCAAGGATATGCCAACAATGCGAAGTGGAAACCTAAAGTATTTCATAATGCGAGTGTTGCAAGAAAGCATGTATAACTTTCTGTAAGGATATAGGTGAAGGTTTTGGGAAAAAGGGATATTATGCCCTCAGTCGGTAAACCAGTTTGGCTGAATATTCAAAGTTCCCTTTAGTCTTTACAATGATGATGATGAGGAGGATGCGGATGATGATGGAACCACTGCAAGCCTATCGTTAGGCTCAATGATCACATGAACTTCCCTAGCTACACCAGAAACCGAACCCATTTCCTCTCAACAATAGGCTCTATGTCACTAGGCTACGGGTGGCGCCGACCGGTCGTCACGATTTAGGAACTAACTGCCATATAGCACGTCTAATTTGCCAATGCCATGCAAGTTACGAATGTTGCAAACTACCGGGTTAAGCTTTGACTTAACGGCTTCCCACAACAACGGTCATGCAGAGAATAGCACTTGAATGCTGTCGGGGTTCAATTTTGACCACTTGTGAGTAGGGAATTTTCGACGTAACTAATTGCGAAGTCTTTGTGGTCATTCGTTGCCTATGGCTGTGACACACCTTTGTCGAGTGATCGAGAATTCGGTTCCTGGTGTAGCCGAGGAGTGCGCTCAACTGATGAGTCCCGATAGAACGAAACGACCGCCTAGTGCTTTACTGAACGCGTGTGAGACTATCTGACTTGTAAACTACTGGCGGGGGTCCTCAATGAGCCACGTCGAAGGTCCCTTGCTCAAGTGTGACGTTGGGGGTCTTTAAAATCGGTCCTTGCCTTTTTCACTGGAACGTTTTTAATACAAATATTCGATATTATCTTCGGTTAGACTATTTACGAAGTCAATAATGCTGTTCGCCCTGGATTTTTTGCTAGAGAACTTTGTGATACTGCGCCTACTACGCGGTTTGTTGATTACGGCCATGACTTCATAAAGCATTCAAAAAAGTTGCCAAAAGATGTTTTTATGACTTTATTAATCCTCCCGATCGAAAAACTGAGCTTCCGCACTATGCCGTCAACAGGATGCAAATGCCAATGGTTCACTTCAGCAACTTGCTATGGTTGCCTGCAGACTCGGGATCGTTTACTATGGTGACACCTGTGCACTCAGTGGCATTTTTTCTATTTATACAACTTTGTATTTTTATGGTGCTATTTTAGTCCATCCACAGTAGCCATTGTAAAATGCTGGCAATGCACCCACTCGGGTTCATGAGTGATCACGTGCGCATCTGTGACGTTTTACTTGTTTTGAACGATTCCAGTGTTCATTTTCTACTTCTGTGCTTTCACCTAATCGACCTGATCGAAATCTTCCCCCCTTGTTCATCTCTGAATCCGCTCAAGGTCCTTGACCTGCTAATTAATTGGTAAAAATGTTATTGATCCACTTAGTTTGTAACATGTATGGTAATGCTGGCGTTCCTTTACTTGTCACTGTACTTTCAGATTGTCGGCTCCGTGTACACGCTCTATGTTATTTCACCGACGCTAACTCTGGCCATGTTGGTATCGTTGCCTTGCGTGTTCCTTGTTGGGAGCCTAATGGGTTCGGAACTCCGTCATCTTAGCAAGGAAGCCCAACTACAGGTGCGTCCTCTCTCATCTTCATCTCTCTAGACCCTAATAATTGTTCTATTTGTAACGTCACTGAACCCGCCAGATTATTTTTTCCACTCGGTTTATTTAATGCGGACCTCATCGATTGCGATGATGTCCACTTTTATCTCGTATGCTTGACCACCAGTTTACTTGTGAAAAGTAACCCAACGCACGCATTAGATGTCGCTCCACTCGCAATTCCTACCCTCGTACTCTTTTTCTAAGCCCTGTGGAGCCTGATCAATCCCATAGGAATTGAATACGCATACTTGAATCGGCTGATCCTTCTAACATCGCTTCTATTTTGTCAGTATGTTTTCACTAATGCGTATCGATTGCCCACCCTACCATCTACATTCAGAGTTCACTGTTGGCATGTGTCGCCGAAGAATCATTCACACACATCCGTAGCGTGAAATCCCTGGCCCTTGAAGAAGTTCAGCATGAGTAAGCTGCGCATTTCGGTCAGATAGGCTGGCTTCTCACCAACGCTTTGTCTCTCCTTATCTTTATTTCTCCATCACTTATACTTCAGGGTAGCTATTCAGCACCTATGAGCTTCTTGGTCCTATCACTGGAATCCGATTAAAAACATCATACAAACTCGTTCCCACTGAGCGAACTAACTAGATGCGATATCGCATAGAATCGATGCGCATACAAGCTTGCTTTCATCTATGCCCATTGCTGCCATCATCGTCTGAATTCAGGATTTACATGAACCGGGTGCACACACACTCGCGCTTAAAGCCGTGTTGTGCACCTACCCACCAACACCACCACTGTCATAAAACCGTTTCGGAGTGCACCAAATGTTACTTTTACAGCATGACTGTCAGATGGTGAAGTCACAAAGACATTGTAGCGAGTGGACACGCTACGCATCCCTAGTTTACCACTCGTGCGTCATTCTCCCAATCTGTCCAACGCCCCCACACCCCTTCGTATATCCATAATGTCACGAGGCTATACCGTTTTTGTGTCAAGGATATCCTCCATTCTTGGACTACCGTCAATTAAACCCAGACATGGGTGTATCATGTGTCGAGTTGTGAGACCAGAACTCTTGCGACAACAGTTGTGCATTCACATTATTCGTGCTACACAAACCGTCGCGTGACTCGTAATTGGGGCACAATGTGTAGCTGCATGGGCTTGGTCACATTGCTGCGTTCCTTCATCACCGTCGCCATTGCTTTAGCTTGGGCCATCAAGACCGCCTTACATTTTACTGTAGTGCATGTGCCGTGTATTTTTAGCCCAAGCTCACTTTCGAACTGGAGTGAACTGCGACGACTACAGGCCCCTCGCTCCACACTCGCAGTTTATCCTTTGGTGCTTGTCTCTGCTCCTTGATTTCCCAATTCATTCCGTCAACGTTCCGTTTTTATCCATTTGCCCATCGGCATCACTGCAATTAGAAGTGAAAAAGATGATTAAGCTCGTCACAACTACTCTATAAATGCAATTCAAAAGCAAAGAGCGGTCCGCTCATTCGATAAAACGAAGGCAACTTTCACCCCTTAAGTACAGCTCATGTACATCATTTTCTTAATGAGTAGTGACCTATGGACACAGCGATTACTCCTTTCTCTATTGTGTGAAGACTTCCATTATGCTCTTTCTTAGTACTTATTATTTTAATTCAAATGAACGAACAAGCGATCCAAAATTGTTGCTATCAATACTCAACTAGAGACCCAGGCACCTGAGAGTACACTCCTACTTTGAATTTGTTTCTCCTTGCGCCTATTTCCTATCTATCTTGCGCGACGCAGTTCTCAGAGATGTAATAGTGTGCTACATGTGCCATCGGCTGTATTTGGCAATATGTCAACCCCTTATGTCATTGTGTTCATCACACGTCGTCAACGTCGACGGTAACGAGCACAGTGTATGGCTGTGCGCCTGCTGAAATCTTACCACCGCGTTCAGACCTCCAAACCCTAACCTCAAAGAGTTGGAAATTGATAGCAGTCCATAAGATGCGCCATCCTCGTAGAAACGGTTGCTGTCCAAATTCTGAACCATAATCTCTAAGAACGGAAAATTTCGTTTCTCTCTCTATTGCCCATTAACACGCTGCATGATCAACTGGCCTAAACAAGTACGCGAACTGTCACACTGGTTAAAGTCCGGCGTTTCCATGGAGTTTTCATACGCGTACGTTACGTACTGTGACAGTCATTGACTGTGGGAAGCCTATGTACGCCTCAATATGCTTATATTGCCCGCCGTCCGGACAGGCCTTCGAGACGGTGGATTCACGTCATTAGGTTTCCACTGATTTTCTATCGAAACCCCCACACACTACTGGGTTTTGCAGATGTTCTGCGTGTCAGTTCGCTTACGCTGTTCACTATCGACCGAAACAACATCCTCCGATATTACAGTGATTTCTCTCCAAGTTTTTATCATGGTGTTTTACGTAGATGCACTGCAAAATTACATGTTGACAATGCTGCGTTTTACCCCCGTTCGCTCCTCGTATGCGTCTGGTGCGACATTGGAAAACGTGATTATGTTTATAAATTTATTATTACAGGCGCTTTTGTGCTGGTGATGCGAGGCTGCTTCAAGTCAACACCAAATTGGGCTGTGGCATTGGTGTGTTTCAAGGGCTCTCTAATCTAGCTTTGAACGGTGAGTTTTTATTGTCTGATATGTGTTCTCTTGTCTTATTCCCACGCAGCTGTTTGCTGACTTCCATGTACACGTTTTCGAATTTATCAAGCACGTGATTAAGCCACAGCTGTGAGTTCAAGGCTTACGCTAGTGTACTGGTTTACGTGTTCCGTTGGGCGGAACGTTTTGAAGAGCAGTTCAGCAGACCTGCTGCGACACTGACATTTGCCGAATCACCTGATCCGACGTTGGAAGTAGATATCACAGCTCCCACTTTAAAAGAGATTTGACACGAGCTTTCTGGTTTGAGACGAAACAAATCTCCCGGATCCGACAATCTTCCTACATCCTTGCTAAAAGATAGGTGACTGTTGACTGGACGCTTCCCTATTTAAAACACCTTTCAGTCGGCCGGTGGCCGAGTGGTCTGCACGTTTGCTTTGCAACCATAAGGTCACCGGTTCGAATCCGCGTAGGGGTGGGCGTCCTCGCGGTATACTCAGCCCGCGCGCGACTGGTGGTGGTCGCGCGGCAGCGAAGCGCCGTTACGGCGTACAGCTGACGCATTATTATTATTGTTATTATTATTATTAACACAACTTTCAACTATCGTGTCCATCTTCAAGGAGTGTCAGCGTGTAAGAACCCGAGGTGCAAGCGGAGTTGTTTATTGTGCAAACGTAGTTAATACTAACTACATCCGTTCTGACAAACAAGATATCCAACCACCTTCGTCATCCCGGTTGGCGATTGCATGGCGCGGGTTTCTTTCTGTGTCTAGTAGTTGTGTGGTGTGCACTGCTTATGCGTCCATTCCCCCTGCGCATACACTTGCGGTTCCAAAGTGTTCCTTTCCTTTGGGGGAGTCATTACGGCCTGCTTTGGCTGATTGCTGTTTCGTATCTTGCAGCACGCTACTGATAACTGGCGCAGTAGCGTCTGTCTTTAGTCCACCACACTTCTCCCCCTTCAGTGCTCGCTCCAGCTGCCATCACTCTGAGTCGTTCTGATTGTCGAGGATGCTCACTGTGCGAAAAAAGTTCCTCCTGTAACTCGTGCCACTTCCTCAACTCACTGGCATGTATTCGCCGTGAATCTCCTTACCGAGCGATTGTGTTCACTGTGTCTCGCCGGTTGACCACCTCGTGTGGTCCCTACCACTTCCGTAGGAGTTTCCTCGCCCTTGGGCCACAAGTGGGAGCGCGTTCATGGTCCTAGTATTTCATCTTTGAACCGATCAGAAACTCGACACCCATCTCACCATTGTTGGCCTGGGACTTCTCCATCCTATGCGCCTGACTTGCTTTTAGGTTACGGTTGGCTGGCTGTCTTCCTGTTATCCTATGCCTCTTTGGGAGATATTCTGCAAGTTGGTCACCTTCCAACCTCTAGATCCACTGGTAGGCGAGGTGCTTGACCGTACATCAATTGGATTGACGTTTTCTTTGTGGAGACCTAGTTGAATTCTCGATGGGTCAGCAACAGCAGTGGCAAAGATTCCTCCAAGTCTCCACCCTTTGCCGCTATTCACTCTAATCGTCTGTTGTGGCGCTCCGTGAAGCCATTTGTTCACGGGTGGTATGGGGTTGTCCGCATTTTCTTGATACCAATTTTCTCCAAACAGTTCCGGAATTCCTCACTCTGGAAGCACGGACCCTGATCTGTTAATATGGACTTTGGGATTCCATGATCCGCTATCAAGTGTTTCATGAATGGGATTCCCGGATTATGGAAGAGCAGGCACGTTTCCGCCCTGGACTATATATTCATTCTGCGGTAGGTGCTCGAGGAGCGCCACGCATACTGCAGAATGACACTAGCTGTATTCCTCGACTTCAAGTGTGTGTGTGTGTGTGTCGATTTGGTCGATCGGTGCATTCTGTTCGAAATACTTGCGCGGAAAGGTGTTCCCATGAAATGTGTGAGCATTTTACATGCTTTATACACGAACGCGACAGGCCACGTCAGGGTCTACGGTGAGCTGCCGGGTGGCTTTCCGATCACAAGTAGTGTTCGTCAGGGTTGTCCGATTTCCCCATTTTTATTCAATTTCCTTGTGGACTCCATCATGGAGTGTTCGCTTACAGAGTCTCAGGATGCTGGTGTTGAGGTCCTGCCTGGTGAAAGGTTAGTTGATCTTGATTATGCGGACTATCTCGTCTTACTGTTTAACGTCGTTTGGGCGGCACAATCAATCCTGTATAGTCTGTCTAGAGTGGTCCACTTATTTGGTATGCGCTTCTCATCTTTAAAGTGCAAAGTGTTGCTGCAGGACCACCAACCACTTTATGACCTCTTGATCCTTGCTGACGAGGAACTCGAGGTGGTTGATTAGTTCACTTAGCAGCTGCATCAGCAACGATGGGTGCATAGAAACTCAAGTCAGCTCACGCATTGCAAAAGCCAGAACTACCTTGTACCAATTTAAACTTATCGAAATGCAACGGAAACAGCCTGTGACATTAACTGTGCGTTTGTTGCTGGAACTACTATCAGTCGTGTTGCACAACGGTGGTTTCAGAATTTTCGAAAGGGTTACGAGAGGCCTGAAGATGAAGAGCGTTCTGGGCGGTTGTTGGAAGCTCAACACGACCACTTAAGGGCCTGTGTTAAAGCGAATCCGCGTAAGAGTATTCGAGATCTTGCTTCTGGTTTAGCAGTATCACATGTGGCAGTTTTAAAACCTCTACGGGAGATTGAAGTGTCGGAGAAGTTTGCTACGTAGCTGCCGGACGAATTGAACGAAAATCAAAGAAATCGTCATTTTCAGGCCTCGTCCGCCCTTCTGTGCGATAAAAGCGACCTGTTTCTCGACCGGATTGTGACTTGCGATAAAAGGTGGGTCCTTTACGACAATTGACGATGAACTTGTCAATGGTTGGACCACGATCACGCTCCACAACACTTCCCAAAGGCGAAATTACACCCAAACTGGTTATGGTGACTGTTTGGTAGCCTGCGACTTGTCTGATCCACTAGAGCTTTCTGAATCCAGGGGGAACCATTACAGTAGAGAGGTGTTTTCGACAAATTGTCAAAGTGCACCGAAAACTTCAACACAGGTGCCCGGCACTGGTCAACAGAAAGAGACCAATTCTTCTCCGTGATAACGCTCGGCCGCACGTCGCACAAGCAAACCTACGGACGCTGTCCGAGCTGGACTACGAATCCTTGTCTCAACCACCATATTCCCCTGACCTATACTCCACCGGCTACCACTTTTTCAAGCACCTGAATTACTTCCTCTGAGAGAAATGTTACAAGACCCAAGCAGATGCTGAAACCGCCTTTGACGATTTCATCGCCATCAGAACTCCGAGATTTTATTTATCAGAGAAATAAACTTGGCTCCCGGAGGTGGTTTTTTAGGTAACTGAATCTGTGCAGTGTTTTCGGGTGGGCAATACCCAATTTCCATCTAACTGAAGCTTCTATTTCCCGATGAGCTTTTCAACGAAAACGTTGGCACGTTACATGTAGTTACAAAGCCGATTACTTGGGAATGGCAGAGCGTCAGCTGCAGGTGAGAACCGCGGAGTATTTGTCGAAGTGGGTGAAACGACGCGTCTCGCAACCGACCTCAACCATCGCCTCAAGTGCCAACGATTTGCCATACAAATTTCCAGCCTCGTCAATCGCCCGACGTCTGCAGACAGACAGACACAACGTGGATCCTGCGCGTACATTCCGGGTGATCTTCGCGTCAAATAACCCCCACGTTTTACGATATGGCGAAGCGGTGGCCATCAAACAACTGGGCCCCACCCTATGCGTACAAAAGGACGCGTTCGTCTCATTGGCTATGCCGTACTATTAGGCCAGCTAACAAACGAACAATTCACCCGAGTGCTTGTTTATGTGTGTGTCGGTGTACATCCTTTGATGAATTTGCTATCCCAACTATACCCGACATTCATGATGCTATGTTTGCACGCAATCTGCAGTACGCACTTGATAATATGCAGAGAAAGTTGTCCGGATATAAATCGTGCGGTGCTATCATGCTAACGCTTTTGTTGAAGAACGTGGTTCATGTTGGCAACAGTGGGTCATTTTAAGTGGTTTTTATTTTAAATTAAAATCCTACATTTAGGCTATGTGCATCTAAAGTTTAAAATTAAAAACCGCGATAACTTTATTACCAACCTAGTAAATATTTGCACCCGGGCCGTCCGCCTTACACTATCTTAGCACCCTCGTTGTCATTTCCCTATGACTAGACCGCTGGTCTATCTAAAGTGTATCTCCATGATCACAAGATGTGTAGGCGGAAGTAAACTAGAGCACATTCTCAGTGCCTCAGATGAGCAATAAATTACGGCGTTTCTGTAAGGGACCGGGGGTGAGTGGGTTGACGTTGTCTTTAACAATGAAGGTTCTTATTACTGCTCAATGTGTATCGCGTATATTCGTTCCCGATCCAACAAAACTCACCTTTTGGTGTGCGATCGGGCGCCGTCGGCTAATTTCCCGTTTTCTCACAAGCTCTTTTGTCACTGCATAGGAGAACAAAAGTTAAACTCACTCAAACCTATGTTCAACCTTTAGGTTATAGCACAAACAATGCGACAGAGCATTGCTTCAGTAGGCCACTCAGCAGTGCACAAATTAGCACACCACCATGTAGTTTATTCTCACAATTTCTTCACAGTCGCTCTCCTTTTACTGGCTTAAGAATTGCCCCGATATCTGACTCGAGAGAATTAACTTCCTTCGTTCATCTCAGTTGCGACCCACTACACCATTGCCTCGTGTATCACACCGCTATAGCATATCGAGTCCATTGCGCAGTACAACACAGCATGCTTGTGTCAAGCGATGTCGAATGCGCATTCCTTTGCCACTACTCATGGCTAGCTCACATGCGAGGCACTCACGTTGTGTTAATTCTCCTCATAAAACCAGCCATCATGAGGCACTTGCTCACACGACCTAGTGGAGCAGGCGTGCACTGCCGTGTGTCACTCCGATGTACCGATTGGGTTCGTCACATACCGCTTGGAATTCGAAAACTACACCTGTCTTTTGTCGACTAGATTTAAGGTCGATGCTCTGTATGTCTGAGGGAAGAGCTGAAATCCAGTGGGTATATGACGCACGATCTCTGTGCTCATCTGCACCCACTTGAAGATTGAGCAACCAATATTCTTTGCTAGTTGGTATCCCCATCACGAGAAAAAGTACCTTACAACGGTTGCTTGTAACGCAGAGCTGCGAAAATCACATGGAAAATTACTCTCTGATATCCATTCATTTTCATTGGTTGTTTCTAAAGTGTGGCTGCCTTGATTCTACATTTAGTGACAACATAGTAATAAGTAATTATACTAGCTGCAAAAATAATTTATCATGGTTTTTCGGGGGTGTTGCATGTAAAAGTGTGATTTAAGAATTATGTGCGTTTGCAACAGACCGATTGTATCTCGGTCGAAAATTATTGCAACTAATAAAAAATGTAGAGAACTCGAGAAATTGTAAAACTGTCGGCTCGGATCAGACCAATATGGCGAAGTACGACTCATGGAACGTCTTCTAGATGCACCGAAAGCAGTTGCAGTCGATGCCACCTCGCCAATCCCAAGCGACCGAAGCCTTCAGGGGCAACTGAGGGTTGATTGTCTTGTGCCAAATTAATCGACCAGAAAGGGAAGATGCGCCCTCGTTTATCCGTTTAGGAAATAGATTTTATCCATGCATTGACCGTCAACGGAGGATTGAAAAAGAGATGTGAGATCAGCGGATAAGTGTGGTTCGAAAAATAAAATCTGTGTGTTTTATAAATTGTAAACACCGTATTACATCCAATGTGTGTGCATTAGCAGTGGAAGTCCGTTACGTCAGGGGAAAGTGGAAACCACGAGCTTCGAAACGACGATAGTGAACAAATACTTGGGGTGAAAGAGAACACATGCATGGGCAATGGCACCCTCGAGGCATTGCCTAGCTCCACGCTGGTCATTTAGCCATTATTGGTTAAATTTATCTATCCTAATAAGCGTCTATATGTCAGCTGGATAATAACTGCTCCAAGCCCTGTATACTTTTATGTTGCTTCGTACTGTTACGAATTGACAACTCAACAGTCCACGGTGCCTCAGTGTTTGTCTTTGTACGCATATCCCACCATAGGTGAACGCGTAACCGTCCATTTTTCACATGTATTTACTCGGTCTTTCGGCCATAGTTCACTGTTGCCTGCACTGGTGGTTCTCTTCGTTCTTGTTTTTCGATCGTTATGGTCTTGTTAGCATCTGTTGCATCCGACCGGTTGCACTCTGCTCCAACATATGCTTGGCGGCATCCAGTTTCGGATTTGCCTGTCACTGTGACCAGCCACAGAATGGCTGCGCCTACAGAGGGACCATGGGTGGCTTGCACTGCAGCAGCCACAGGTTCAACCACACACCCTATATCCAGTGTAAACCCGAAGGAATAAGACCGGGAGGCATGTGGATGGGAGCCACGTTTCCTCAACAGAGCCGGACCACACTTTTTCACAGACAAACACGCGCACGCTGTAGTTGGGAATCAATTGCACACAAGCCGGTGGCTAGTCCGTGGTCCGCTCCACACTGAGTGCATGGAACCACCCTTCGAGCCTAGCACGACCACCACAAGGACCGTGCACCCCGTCCCCTCCAGCAACGACCAACTGTCTTCTGGAGCCAGTGTGGACGAAGCAGTGGGTAATAGACAGGTAGGCACCTTGTCTACATGCATATGAAGCGCAGCTACACCGCCAACAGCCAATCACTTGAAATGACGTTATCAAATTAAATATATCTGTCAAGTCATACGGCAACGCCGACATAACTCTTCGCTAAATTAGCACATGAACTAACTTGGTTAGCAACGAATCAGCGATAAGCACAAAATGTCCAGAAATTACTCAAAAATGCTACAAACGCTACACAATTACCGAAGATAATCGCAATTAGGGTAAGCAACGTGGCCAGTTAATAGAAGATTATTCAGGTAGACTGAACAAACCAAACAAGGTGGAATGATATGTATCCAGATTAAAAAGACCTAATTTAAGCGTAAGTTGTTTTAGTCTAACTGCAGTGAAGAAGCATCATGAATGCAAAATCAGCGCCAGCATGGGGCTATTAACGCAACCGCGGTTCACTGCCTCCTCGATGTTGATAACTGCAAAGCAGCATGTGTCTGCAGCTATCAAAGGCTTCGCTCATTCGATCCACTGTCACCGTCCCACTATGCGACAAAATAGTTCGGTGACACAATAGTAGTGTGCGCTCTCTCCGCTGCCGGTGAAGCGCCACTCTTCCAAGTCTACAGACCTCTTCCTATATGGCTCCATGGGCTTGCGTTCCGTTTTTCTTTAGCGCTTACGTTTCTTATCTTGCCTTATCACCGATATTGATCGTATTGACTTGCCTTGTATGATGGTATTGCACGCTCTCGTTCTTACAAATCCCGAATCCATACCAGTGTCAACAGCCTCTTCTATTGCTACTCGATTCTGTTACTCCTACCAGGTTGGTGTTTGACAGGGTGTCACACAAGCACAGCCACCTGCAGGCTGGTCACTGAGTTAAATTGGCACGCATTTTTTCAGTGTTTTACTCTATGGACTAATGTCATTTTTCTGCTGTCTTGCAACCAGTTTCCCAGCTGAGAGCTGATTGAAACTCCTAATCGTTATTCTGTATAGGTTTGGTCGCCCGGCTAGTACCCCAGCGTGCATACAACCATTCCTCAAAGTCTCATCCTGCGCCGTCTGTCTCCCGATGTCGAACTAACTATGTGTTGATTACGACGAACGTGTTAAATGTACACGGGCTACCACTGGTACCTCATCTTTTATTTCTCTACCCATTTATGTTCCCCGCGATCCCCTGTAGCTCATGACGCGAGGGAAAACAATTAAAATGTTACTGGGACTCCACCGTCTGCATTCATACCGTCACGATATGTTTTACTCTACCATTGAAAGGTGCTTATCAGGTCATGCCGTCCTGTTTCGCCGAAGCGTCCAACGTTCGTACTCTAAGAGAGATAGGTCAACGAGCTGCATTCGCTGGCACGTTGGACCCCATGAATGTGGGTGTGCGCTGTGCGTCCACACGGTTCCCATACTAACCACCCCTTGCAGATCTCATTGGTATTGGTTACTTGCACTTCCGTAAACGGTGATCCACGACCATATGTCAAAGTGAAGTGGATATCTTTCTCATCCCCAGAACGGATTCCTCGCTGATTCGAATTCCTGAGAACAACCGTTTGCATGCAGCTCACTTAGTGGCGCTGCTAGTTCGCTTCTTTTTCCAAACTAAAGTCCACACCACTCACTCGGGCTTGGGTCGAAACTTTGAGGGCCATGGCTCGTAATCCGTACCAATTACGAGCCATGGCCCTCGTAATCCGTACCAATGTTGGCTCTATGTCTAGTTGCTAGGCTGTTGAGATTACATCCGTACCAATGGCACGTTTGTTGTCGTCGTCTAACCAGCGCACCTGTTTACTGTGCGCATTGTCCTGAGTTATCTGCGGTTTAGGGTTGCTTTTATAACCCAGGGCAGCAAGAATCTCATGTAAGGGAACTATCTGATATCTCTGCATTTTCACTGGTTGTTGATAAGGTGTGGGTCCCTTGATTCTAAATATTTACGTGAGGCATTTTGATTTTACTTTGTGTCCCACTTCTATTCTTTAATTCGCCTTTTTCGCTAGTGGTTGTGTGACAGCAAAGCACTGGTATACCGTAGTTGATGATGATGCTTCCTGTATCTGTACATGGCGCTAAACATCCTCGTCCCTGTTTACTTCCTTTAATCAGGGATAACACTTGGCGCGCTGTTGCTCGGTGGCCATCTCGTTTTGCGGAACGAACTTACTCCGGGACACCTCATGTCTTTCCTTGTGACCACGCAGACAGTGCAACGTTCACTGGCTCAATTATCCATGCTATACGGCCACGTTGTTCGCGGGAGTGTCGCGTTCACTAACATTTTCAACGTAAGCCTTTGAGTTGCCGATTGCTTGTCATTCCATTTTTATTACGAACAATCTTCCTTGGATGTGTTCCTTAGTCTCAGCATGCTCTCACTCACCTTTCTGCACTTGAGAGTCGGTAACTTCCATCAGTTAACAGCTCACACGGTTTCTCTCTCCGGCCTCATGCAATCTGCCATCATTTTCCCACATCTCTGTCACCAGCTCGATCACGATAACACCGCTTTCTGCGGGATAATTATGCCAGTTTTATTCGGTTCCGCGAAACCATGGTTCACCTGTTTCGTTAGGTTTGTGCAACCGGTTACTGTTCGCCTTTGCACTGAGCCCTGCGCTGCTTCTCTATTCTCACGTACGATTTTCTTGCGCTCGACGGCCAAGTTGTGTATTGAAGCGATCCGCTGAACACAATCAGATATGGTAGTGGCTGTACCCACGGACGTCGCGGATTTTTGGATCACCGTGTGCTGGATACTACTTTTGCTTCAGATTACTGTTATCAGTTTTTCTGTGTGAATTGTGCACCAATATTCTTCTTTTGGCGTATTTTCCAAGCGGTGCAAATTTGGCGGCTATTCTTCGGCTAATTCCGGAGGTCTCATTGATTTGCCTTACTGCCATCTCTGTTCGCCATCTTGGATTTGCTCTACCATGTGGTGCCGTCTCAAGCCACTTGTGGTTCGTGTTCGAAAGTTGTGGGAAATAAGGCTCATGCACTTCGGTACTTCGACTGTGATGTTTTGTTCCATATTTCGTACATTGGCTTATCCCTTGACGTGTTTCGAAAATCTCGACATCAGACATCGGTTTTTTCAACTTATATGTGATAAATGTCGCGGTGCAAGACATCAGAATACACAGCGACCGCCAACAACTACGGGGAAATCTCTCTTTCAGACAGAAACAAACCGTTCACCACGTGGAATCAAACGCCCTCGTTAAAGTACCTCTGTTACCTCGCCTTCTATTGTCACTCCGCGATCTGCACCACCACCAGCGTCTTAGACCCCGGCCGAGCCTCAGGTTTAATGTTCCCCACCGATGGAAGACTCAGACTCGGAAGCTACGAAATGCCGCTTCACTGATCGGTCCGTGAATTTCTCAGAGCTTGTCTGTGAACTTCTGAACACCGAGGATCCATGGACCACTCAAAAGCGCAAGGGGCCACGTAATCGAGTTCAGAAGTCACCTACTGATAAACAACAACCCAATCAGTTACGCGTGTCTAGTTCTGCTCCCACAGGTTCATCACTGATTTCGCTGAGGCGTTATAATCTCATGGTCTTCCACGTACCAGATTCAAAAGATGAAAACCCTCAGATACGTTATGATCACGATGTTGAGTTCCTCCAGGGGCTCATCGATAGACTCTTGGATATGGGCGAAGACAGCGTGACGATTAAACAAGTAATCCGACTTGGCCAGAAAACTAACCAGTCATGTCGACCTCTGAGAATCACCTTTGCAAATCCCAATATGCCGCAGCTCATACTGTCTCGTCTGTCAAGGTTGAAAGGCATAAAAGTTCACATCCGCCGAGACTTGGAACCCGAAGACAGGGATCGTTTGAAGACTGCGGTCATTGAGCTCAACGCCGTACAGAGGAAGGTGAGACTGACTTACAAATTGTAAATTTTCGGGTGATCAAGAAGGGTGTACGAACCCGTATCAACCGGTTGCTCAACCTCCAGGCACGTCCCGCAGTACCTCCCAGGACCTCCGTGTGGCATTCGCCAACGTGTGCAGCCTAATGAACAAACGTGACGAACTGTGCCGCTTCGCTGTCTCGGAGCGGCCGGACGTTTTAGGACTTGCAGAGACTTGGCTGAACTCCGACGTCATACCCAAGAAGTCGCGTTGTCAGGATACTCTTGTTTCCGATGCGACCGAAAATCAAAGGCTCACGGTGGTATTCTGTTGTACATAAAATCGTCACTATCTGGCAAACTTATCAGCACCTATCGGAGCGAGGCTAGTTTATGCGAGCAATTGTGGTGCACAATCCGCCTCAGGCTCGCAGAACTAATAGTGGGGGTTATCTACCGGAGCCCATTAAACCGTTGTTGCGATTGGCTACCACATGTACAGAAGCACATGAGCCGCCCTCAGTTGTTACTGATGGGGCATCTAAATTTACCTAGGATATTTCGACCAGACGTTCGACTTCTCTCCGGTCCTGGCAATCTTGAGGCTCAATTCGCTAAAATAACTATTGAAATCGGGGCAACATAACATGTCATCCAACCCACGCACGTAACTGCGCACTCGGCATCTTGTCTGGACCTAATGTTTACGAGCTGCGAACGGAAGCTGAACGAGCTCAGAGTCATCGAACCTCTGGCGAACAGTGACCACTGCTCCATTGTGGCAAGCTTAGAACTGTCGTTACCATATTACAATCAACGGAAGCCGACATTCAACTATTGGAAGACGGACTTCAACGGGCTCGTCTAAGCCGCAAGTCAGACTGATTGGACACTACCACAGGATGCGTCGCTTGAGGCCTGTTGGTCATTAATGAAAGGGAAGCTTAACTCGCTGTGTACTCGGTTCGTTCCCCTGAAGTATTCAAAAATCGAACCTGTCAAACCGCATTGGTTTGTTACGGAATATAGACAGTTAGCGCGACGGCGTTGCAGACTTTGGGATAGATACATCAGCTCGGGTTGTGATGAAGATTACACGGTGTACAAGAAACGGCGTAACTTATGTAACGCCGCAAAGATAAAGAAACTCCGGCAGTTCGAAGAGGAGCTAGCATCCTCAGCCACAATGGCACCCAAAAGAATATTTGCCTACTTGAAACCTCAACTGAAACCTGGGGGCGACCTGCCAGTCTTAGAGAGTTTGGACGGACAGACGCTAATTTCAAGCGCGGAGCGCGCGGACGCCTTAGCTACGCACTTCCTCACCGTATTTTCCAGTAAACCGGCGGCTGTTCCAATACCAGCACAGGTTGCGCCAGTCTTGCTCGACAGCCTACAATGTGGTGCAGTCGAAGTGTATCAGCTAATCGTCAACCTCGATGGTGCAAAGCCCCCCCGGACCAGACGGACTTCACACACTAATCCTCAAGTCCCTATCAATTATTCTCTCACCAGCTGTGACAAACCTATTCAATAAATCACTCTCTGAAGGATCTGTCCCCCAACGAATGGAAATGCTGGATAGTGAGACCGCTTCCCAAGGGTGGTGATCCGAGTAAAATAGAGAACTATAGACCGATCTGTTTGACTTCGGTATTATCCAAAATTCTCGAGAAGCTTGTGAAAAAGTGTCTGCTGTCGTTCTTCGAATCGATGGACGTATTGACGCCAGCGCAACACGGCTTTACGAGAGGGCGATCCAGCATCACCAACTTGATGTACGCAAACCACCAGTGGGTACGAGCTCTCAATGCACATAAGGATGTTGACGTGGTGTACATCGACTTTAGTAAGGCATTTGACAGAGTGAACCACGAGGTACTCCTTTGTAAACTGAGGACATACAGAATCGGTGGCTCGTTACTTCAGTGGTTACACGAGTTTATCGTTGGACGAAAGTTCAGAGTACAGGTCAATGACTACCTGACAGACTGGTTCCCATCGATCAGTGGCGTGCCTCAAGGAACTGTACTTGGGCCAGTATTATTTCTTATTCATATCAACGATTTTCCATAGCAGCTCCAGTCACCATGTGCCCTGTTTGCGGATGATTTGAGAATCTGGAGGATCATTGAGAACCAGGACGACTGCATTCGCCTCCAGCATGACTTAGAGCGACTGTCAACGTGGTCCACTGAAATACAACTCCCTCTTAACGCAAGCAAGTCAGACGTCATCAGTATCACCAGGCGTCCAGCCACTAGAGCATACACCTTGGACGACCAGTTGCTCCACCCCAACACATCTGTCAGAGACTTAGGTGTTCTCTCGCGACTTGATATGAGATCACCAGAACATACAGAGAAATTGTACCGTGTGGGACTTCGTATGCTCTGGGCATTAAGGCGCAGTTTCTCCACATGGTCCGAAGAAACCGTCCCTCGTCTATTCACCTCGCTCACTAGACCAATCCTTGAATACGGTGCCCCAGATTACCATCCGATAACCCAATGGGAAACTGAAAAGCTGGAGAAAATACAGCATATCGCAACTAGAATGGTACCGAATCTACGAAAGCTTCCGTATGCAAAATGTTATGAAAGGCTCGGACTCTACACACTATCCTATCGCCGAGTAAGAATTGACCTTATTATGACCCATCGAGTAGTATACTTGAATCACTTCCCCATACTGCGGCCAATATTTCACCTGCAGGAACCCTGTACACCCGAGGACACCGTTACAAACTCAGGGTCCCCAGCATGAACAAAGTATCACATCAGCTTTGTATCGAACGAAGAATGGTAAACTTATGGAATATAGTACCAGAAGGATTTATAGAGGCCGATTCTGTGAAGTGTTTTAAAACCCGTATCGACGATTATTTCGGAAACCTGTGCTTTTGTGAAACGATGCACATACAATGCCAAAAGAAGACATTGTATGCCTGGAAATAATGACACCAATACCAATTCCTAACCGAACAAAGATAAACGATTAACGGACTAGCCACAACCGCTGATGATTCACAACTAAATGTTTTTGATTTTTCGTAATTCGATAGTTGTACAGAAACCTTTCTACTTGCTCTTAAATACAGTCTCAGTTTCAGTCTCTCAGATGGCAGTCAACGACCATTTTTAGAATTTCATTTTATATCAAGCGGAATAACGAGGAATGACCAATGGGGTACATGTGCATCGCATATGAACGGAGTTATTACGTGTTTGAACATTAGCTATTTTTCATCTGATAATGGCTTGTTCTGTCACCCTATTCGGTGTCCCAAAATATCAGGCACAGGAGAAATGCCACATGCCCGAATTTTCTCCTTGTGCTCATGGTTGATACCTCTTTGCGATCTCTCGTTTAGGTTTTCCGTTAGAGAATCCGATTCGCTTCACGCTCTTTCTCATTTCTTCCATTGTGTAGTTGCTTCATTCGTCCGGCGCTTCTGATATTTCATCTCTGAACAGTGAGTCCCGTTTGTTGTTTGAGAAACTACTACGTCAGTGGTGTCAACCGCACCGTTCTCCAACTCTGCAGTTTGACGCAGTGTCCTTCAGTTATCCAACTCGTCCCGATGCTCCTGTGTTGGATTCTCTCAACATGTCTGTTCCAGCTGGCAAGGTGACTGCGCTTGTCGGGAAATCTGGTGCAGGTTAGTGCTTCCTGTCAGCACACATTTGTTGCATTGTATAGGGTTGTCGAGACGAACGGATTATTCAATCGATTAGAATGGATCTAACTTGCTTAGTATTGTCACAAGCGGCTTCGCGGTTTTCCTCCGAGCCCTTCCGCTACCCAGCGCTGATTGTACACTTGCCATGTACTCTTGCGTTTTTAGCTTTTTGTAACCTCTAACTTCTCATCCCCACATGGTTTCAAGTCTCACTTGGTGTAGAGTTCTACAGGCCAAGTTTGAATTCCCCCCCTAGCACAATGTAAATGATATCTACCTCAGTCATTCACATGCTTATTGAGCTTAATCAGCCTCACCATCTACCTAACCTTGGTACTCTCTCGAGTGACCCTTCAAACTGCATCTAAGGTCACTGACACCCCATCCATACACCAGTTCTTTTCGCCCTCACCTGCAGGCAAATCAACCATCGTTTCGTTGTTGGAACGTTTTTATGAGCCGTCTGGTGGAACAATATTGCTCGACGATCATGGGTTGCACGAGTTTCCCCTGTCGTTTCTACGGAGCCAGCTGATCGGGTATATTAGTCAGGAACCACAAATCTTCAACACATCCATTCGCGAGAACATCCGTTTTGGCCGACCATCGGCAACTGATGACGAAGTGAGTTAGTATCTCTTCACGTGTCCAACCCGAGAAACCCGTCCATATAATCGTAAACCAATCAGAGCTCGCTCGCCCGCTCGTCGAATCAATCCGAACGCATCAGTGCCAACATTTTATACATACATGAGTTAGTGGGCAAAAGAGAGCTCCTTATTGGGGCACCGCGTCCCTAACTAACTGTTCACTCCCGATACAGCACACCTCGGTGACTAACAACCACTTGTTAGACTATCTCGGCGGCACAGGACGGGTATGACGAATTCGTCATTCTAAACAGTACAATCCGACGAAGTGTGTTACTAGCGGATATTATCTCGTGTTATCTGATCACATGCAAACAAGCCACTTTTCTAACGATCACGCAAGGAAAAATCAGTAGTTTGAATGCTCTCTGAAAGATAGAAAAGGGATATACAAAGGGAAAACCTGCAGCAGCTTCACCAATTAAGTACCGAGTGTCACGGTCCCCAAGGAAGTTTGAGTGTGACAGTTAACTGTTTTTGCACACAAAGCTCCGGATACCCATTTTGTATGTATGTTAGAGAGCAAATGTCTCGACATTTTTGATGTACTATTTACCAGAATTGCGCACGACTCGATGCGGGGGTCTGTCTACCGAAAAACCACTTGGACAAAACTTCAGAAGCCGCACGCTGAGCAAGTATAAACGTTACGTCGTCAATACCTGATTTAACGATCTTGTGGAATATGCAGCCCTTAATGCATAGTGCATTATAATTCATTATGCAGACTCTACAGGCCAATTATTACCCGGGGACTTACAATAAGTCCCACAGTCACTCGAACTAATATAAAAAGCCCGCTACCGTGTCAAAATACCCGTCTGTCTCCAGTTGCCATTCAACGGAGACGTGGCGGCACAACTCGTGCAAAGTATAGGCACAGCAATTTGACGGAGCTTCCCTACTACCTTCGGTCAAGCTTACCCAACCGATTTCTGCCACTCACCACTTTACCTTAATTGTTGAAGTAATTTCATGTGCAGAACTGATCGGTTTCTGTGTAAGTGGATTGGAGAACGTATTTTCAAATCCGTAGCTGCATCTGTCGCTGAACAAGCACGGGCACAGATGTCAAACCCAAAATGCCTGTCCCTTCAATTAAATTGATTAATTCATTATAGCATAATCCCGTTTGTTGAGACACAACTGTTACGGCATTAAAAGCATTTTCTAGTGCAACGACCACGACCGGTCTGGAAATGCACAACGGTGTTGCAAATCCTTTTTTCAACATTGACAAGGCAGAACTGTTGATTAATGTATCAGTATGTTATCTGGTTGACTCTGATTTGGCCTTTATGCTTATCTACCGCAACAGATGGAGATTGAACCCGGTTTCATCTATGAAGATACATTTGCTCTTGTCATGCGGCGCGTGTACCAAGAAGTCGAGAGTGTAGGCCTGCTGACTGGCGACGGTCGGGGCACTGTTGACACGGTCTAGCTCGTAGTGACACTACTACAGTGTTATATTTGGTCTTTTAAGTGCACTGAATACTTTAGACAGACAAATCGCTGATGCAGCTGCATCAGAGCATCTTGTGAACGTCGTTCAGCGGTCTATTCAACGCGCTGCAGCACATCGGGAGTCAACTACTCCTTGTTGTTTCTTTCACATTTGCGCTGAGTAATTATGCTTACTTGGGTGTAGGCATTGATGATATATATTTATTTCTTGCACTGCTCTCATTGATATCGGCGACTTCATCAGCTTCGTGGGTGGTGTTGCTGTCGACGAAAACAAGCTTGGTGAGGATGTCATTCTGTGCCCATGACGTTCCTTGGTACGGTCACCGCCTCGAAACTGCGCTCTCCCGTCTTCCGTCGCTTCTTGGTCGTTTCATGCAGAACAAGGCGTTTGTCGCGGTAGTCGTGCACTGCGTAGGTTAGCCCACACATCCACATAAAATACGAAGAGACCACTACAGAGTCAAAGGAAAACTTTGATCGAGGTGATACTCCTGATGAAGAACGGGGGCTCCTCAATCACCCACTGCTTGCTAAGTTTGGTTGCATTATCGTGACCAAAATGTGCTCTGAACATCGCGCAATCGTCTTACTTCTCATTTCTAGCTAAAATTATCATGTTTTTTGACAAGAATAATGTGTAAATTTTATTTTGCGTAACGTCTACTTTGGCTTGTGAAACGTCCGATTTAAAATGGAAATGGTATGCACATATATATATATATGCATATATATATATATATTGTTCGCGGCATCCGGTTTCCGATTTTCCTGTCACTGAGGTCAGCCACAGGACGCCTGCGCATACAGAGGGACCATGAGCGGCTTCCGCTGCACCACGTACAGCTCCAACCACACACCCTATATCCAGTGTAAACCCGAAGGAATAAGACCGGGAGGCATGCGGATGGGAGCCACGTTACATCAACAGAGCCGGCCCACACTCGTTCACAGGCAAACACAAGCACGCTGCAGTTGGAACTCAATCGCACCAAGGCGGTGGCTGAAAAGTGGTCCGCTCCACACTGTGCATGAAACCACCCTTCGAGCCTAGCACGACCACCAGAACCGTGCACTCTGTCCTCTCCAGCAACGACCAACTGTTTCCTGGAGCCAGTATGGACGAGGTAGTGGGTAATAGACAGGAAGGCACCTTGTCAACATGCGCATGAAGCGCAGCCACACCGGGGATGTCAAGCAACAGCCAGTCATTTGAAACGCCAGAATGCAATAAAATAAATCGAAAATGCATAGAGATACGATGACCTAACTCTTTGGTAAATTAGCATATGAAGTAAGTTGGTTAGCAACGAATCCGCGATAAGTAAAAGTATCTAAAAGTTATTCACTAAATGTTACAAATGCACTAAAGTTAAAGAATATGTCCACAACCAGCATAGGCATCGTAGCTAGTCAGTAGAAGATTATTCAGTTAGGCCGAACAAACCCATTAAAGTGGAATGAAATGTATCCAGTTTAAAAAGATTTAATTTAAGTGTAACTTGGTTTATCCCAACTGCGGCGAAGAAACATCATGAACGCAACATCAACCTCTACATATACATATATATATATATATATATATATATATATATATATATATATATATAGAGAGAGAGAGAGAGAGAGAGAGAGAGAGCAGTAACTCAGTAAGTTGTATTGAAATTGCTCGCAGGATCTTGTCGTATTGGCACATATTGTCTATCTGTATGTGTCTCGATCTCGTGATCATGAGATCGGTCACCTTAGTTATCGGAGTCTTTTTCCGACGTTGTACGACCACCAGGCCAATTGCACTCCTGCGTGCCGTATAAATGCTCCATACCTAAGCTTAATTTGGAAAATGATTTTTTTGTTGTATGTTCGTTTACTTAGGTTCACAACTTATTATAAGAAACAGGGTTAAGTGTACGGTGACATCACCATTGAGGAGTCAAAGTGGCGGCTTCCTCACCGACTTACACCGACGATGAGCAACGCTCAGTTATCTCTTTTTTCTGCGTAACGAACAAGCAAAATCGTAAGATGTTACAGCAACTTGTCACGCCATCAAGTATGTGCATCTCATAGTGAGTACAAATTTTACGTTCTAGATGTGTCTGGTACAGTTGCATCTGTCAGACCACAAACTACGACAGCGCAGCACATTGTTGTGAAACTTGCGGAATTTCTGTGGGACGGAAAGGAAATCAACATACACGGTCTGTTCAACTGCATAAAAGGATGGGAGAAATGTATGGTATCTATGTGACATAGGATATGTATGTATGCCGAGTTTGGTTACTCTCGATACTCAGGAAGTTGGTCATGGAAAATTTTTATGGAGCGCCGTTCATAGACGAGGTTGCTAGAATGCTATCCATTAGCAATGGCTGTGCACGTCATCACATAGGCCCTGCACTTCCGTAACGACTTTCAAGACAACCGACTCCCTAAACGAAGGTTTTATGCATGGATGCTTGCTCTCTGTTGTTTTGGTGGCACGGAGGAGCTGAATTTTCATTAACACATTCGCAATTAATCAGTAATTAGTTCTTTATTTTCAGTTGGAAAGCAAGCGAGCAGGCCGTTTATAGTCAGTAACCAAGAAATGTAAATTCCGCTCAGCTCCTTCCTCTGCTGAGCTCGTGTTAGCACACTTCAGTAACCACAAGAGTCCGATATTGGGACATTATTTGCCATAAAAACGATTGTGCACATGTGTGCATCATGTGGTCTACTGTTCAGTCGTCTTAACACTGCAATCAACTTGAAGCGATGTGGCTTGCTCACTCTGGGGGTATTGCTACAGCACGCCAATGTTCATCTGTCATGCTGCAGTACAACAGTTGCGGTCCGCGTTGGGAAACTCGTCCAAACTTCCCCTCTTCACCCGACCTTACAGCAAGTGCTTGGCATGTGTTAGAACCACTGAAAGACACTTGTCTGTCGAAAATTGAAATGCCTGAAACGTTTCAAACTACCTGGGCGATTATCCCTGGAGTCTAACAAGTGAATTATTCCCAATTGATTTGACTGATTTCTCGCGTTGAATGTCTGGGATTTTATGCATCATCCTGTACACAAAGATCGTAGAGGCCAACTGCTCGCCCCATCTAGCAGTTTGCTTTTACCCGTTTATTTTTTCAACTATACCTGGTACTTCCACGCTGTTTTCCCATTTGGTTGTTTGTATTTCTGCTTGCGTCTTCCCTTACCTACCTTTTCTTCTATCCTCCTAGTAATTTTTATCCTGGCGACTTGCATCTTATTTTCCTGCACTTTATTTCCTTACTATTTTATCTCAAGCAGATCACGTCGTTTTCAGCACTGAAGCTACAATATCATGTACACTTGAGCATCGTGTGTTTTCTTATTCGTTAGATGCGCTCGCCTCTATCGATGATGGCCTGTCACTTTTTTGGAGAATACATTCCAAGTCGACTAGGTGACAATTGACCGCATAACACTGACTCGCGCATTATAACATTTCCGTGCTGTGACACTTGTTAGTGACTAAACATAGACACTCAAATTGGCTAACAAAGCGACCTTCAATGTGTGTCTAGGAACCAGTGCTGTTCTCTCAGCTGTTACTTTAATCCCTCGTCATCTCAACGCTGCCTGTCTTGTGTTTCGAAGTTTTATCCTCACGCAATTATCGTGCTGCTTACGGCACCAATCGCATCACATCTTCCCGAGTGATGTACACACGCTCACGCCTCTTTCATGTGCGGCGTATCACCATTCGACAGCGATCGAACCTCAAAACGTCATGTCTCTATTTATTTCCTAACTCTGGGCTATATTGTTTCATCGCCGTGCCACGACGTCAGACGAACAACTATATAACGATTATCGCGAGGTTTCTTGGTACTTTATTTTTGTGTGTTCAGCCTATAACCTACATCACTGTCACGGCTGCACAACTTTTATGAGCATCTACCTTGTTTGGCGATAATTAGTCTCGATGCGGAGGCCCCACTGAACTATCGCCCAGTACTTAGAAGTTTTCAAGTCTGGTTTCTTGGCTGATTTAAAGACAACACGGGTTAGAGCTACTTAACCGGTGCTCCGACAGTCCGAGGCCAACAACTTTACAATGCCCACCTTTTTGAACTGCACCTATTTCTCCTCCAACTCGGTTTAGAATAACTAATTGCTGTTATCGTATCATTTTATTGTCTCCAGAGAGTAACTTAGAGTAAATGAGTGGATTCCTAAGGCTAGTTTTTTATCATTACTCAACTGTTTGGTATCAGTTGTCTAAAATCTCTGACCGATATTTTAGTTTCCGGTTCTTACCACCTATTTCGAATGTTTTCGATGGAGCTACCTTACGGCCTCACCCATCCAAAAAATTCACTTGGCGGGCACTCCATCTTTTCGGTAATCGTCACTAGTTCACATTCCATTTTACTCGTGTGGTGCTAGAACCCACCTAATCATCAATGTACCTAAGCTTCTTCGAATGACCCAAAAGCATTTCCACAGACATTCGTCTGATCGGATTGCCCACATTTCGTTTTCCGTTCTGTTAGATTTTCCCACTTGTTGTCATTCGGAGATAAACATCTAACTGCTCCACAAGACCTTTAGCCCAACCGAAGGAACAATCAGAAAGCAAATGACCTTGACAAAATAACGCGTTCACTGCCAACAGGCCTTTATCGTGTTTATAGGTCATTTAATGGTCTTCGGCTTTTGGTATAAAAAGTCAGCTGACAAAATCAACAAAGTCATACCGATCCAGACCATCTTCGGGCGATTCGCAGTCCCATGCAACCTTGGAACATTCCGAAATGTTCGAAATCGACGCGGTGATCGGCCACAATCGATTAAGCGCTGAAATAATGGCTTTTCCGAGAAATTCTCCCGTACACTTCCATCTACTCTAGTTCACATATCGCACAAATGCGAGATGGAAATCCCGCATTTGTGCACGTGAAACGGTACTTAACTTCTCTTCAGGAAGGATATTGACAGATAAGGATAAAACATTCTGGTTCAGGCTGTGCATAACTGGTACGAACGTTTCTTCAAAGCTAATTGCAACTAAGCCTGGTGTTGTTGCACTAGACCATACATTTGTGGCATAAATTCAGTCCTGTATATCGAGTTACCGTCACACGCATTTGCTTCACTAGGCCTGACCGTACTGAGGGAAGCCTGTCTACACGGCCTTCAGAACACACCACGGAACTTCGCGTCTAGTGGCTCTAACTTGCCCATTAGTCCACCTATTCCGCACATGTTTAACGGGCTTTGTGCCGAACTTTCTGTCATCCGGTAACTTGTGCAACCACTGTGACCCCATAGTCAATGTTGTATTCTCCCGATAATACGTACACCGTATCATCAGAGGCGATGACCTTCATCATCTTACCGCTTGTTGGCATCGGTTCCCCGTGACCTTGTCATCACTCACACCTACGTAAATCTTCCGCTGATGGTATGTAGGTTACTGATTGCTAGTTTTTTCTGCAAACGGAACCCGCATTATCTAGCTGAAATACTGCCTTCTCTTTCCATTTTAAAACTGCTGAAAGGAGATCAGTACTTCAATGCGTGAAAATACTCTTTTGCGAACCGATAACTCCTCCATACACTACTACTGGAAACTGTTTTACTTCACCATTTGTGTTCGTTGTACTCTTCATCCTCCTCTGCTCATTTTGACGTCGATTGGTTTTCATTAGCAACAATCTGTCCGTTAGTTGCTGATGCGATTCAGGCTGATAACTTGCCTCCTTGGTCATGCGAGCCGTTGCAGTTGTGCACATGCTTTTGTTTAGGTGTAGTGGTGTTTACGTTGTTAACATTTTATTAGATACACGGTTTCTTCTGTTGCTGGGCGCTTTTTGTGCTTTTTTTTCCTCGCTGGCCGTGTGTCTCGGTTCCCCCTGGAAAAAGTACCTGGTGAGTGTCTAGATGGGAAGCTAATCATTTCAGTGGTCAGATCGAGGGGACTTTCCAGTGTAAGTTGGATTACTCCTGCTTTTGCACAGGATCTGATAACGGCTGGTTAGCTGCTATTCCACAACGTATCTGATGAGGATTCAGTGAAAGCGAATAACTGGCCTAGGCCTTGGTGCCATTAGTGTACAACTCCTGTGACGAATCCGAGTGGAATCACTTCTCGAGTACATTGTTCGCGGATCGGATTTGGCCTTATGGTATAACAGATAGTGCTAGAGCGTCAATTTGTGCTTCAGCCGTCGCAATTAAAGGTTCAAAGTGATGCTGCTGGTAAGTTTTCTACTAATGATGGTAGGCGCTTTAGGTGACAGAAGTTTGTAGATTCTCTTGGGTCTTTCTGCATATTCCCATAAATGATACGGCATTTTTCACGCATAGAATAGTAGGACTTTTAAAAGTCTCGACTCTTGCTTGGAGTGTATGGCTTGTATAGCATATACCAGTCATAAACTGTTTGGCTCGTATTATTTGAAATTCGGTTTTCAGAAACCTAGAGTTTGCAAGTAGGCAAGTCTACACAGACGCGTACATTTTTAGGTTTTATTGGCCACTCACGGATTGAATAGTCGTAATATATGATACCTTATTTGCTAGAAGCGAATTTCACCAACCACTTGTCGCGCTTTTTCTTCTTAAGTTAACATCAGCGTGCTCTGAAGTACATTCCGTCCAAGCTTATAAGCAATCTACATTTCGTCATCGCGGGCAAACTGACCTACCATCTTTCGGTTGTCATACTGATATCGTTCATACAGAGTAGGAATAGCGAAGAACCGAGTCCGCTTTTTTGCTTTAGACTCTCAAATTGGATCGTCTATGTGGACAGTTTACTTGAGTCGGGAGTTTCTCCACGACAATGATGCATTTGTTTCACTATCCTTCTCATTCCACGTATACGTTTTACGACTGTGACCCTCTTGTTAGAGGAAATCATCTGCTCTCAGTCTGTCACATCATTTTGTCCCCATGCAGCGTGAGATGCTTTTGTGACATTTGCCGCTTGTTTTTTTCCTGCTTGTCAGGTGGTGGCTGCTGCACGTCTGGCGAACGCACATGAATTTATAGTCAGCCAACTTCCACAGGGTTATGACACTCCTGTTGGACAGGGCTCGGATACCGTAGCCGGTCTGAGCGGTGGTCAACGACAAAGGATTGCAATCGCTCGCGCTATCTTGAAGAATGCTCCTATTCTAATATTAGACGAAGCCACTTCGGCGTTAGACGCCGAATCCGAGGCCCAAGTTCAAGATGCGCTGAAAACTGTCATGAAAGGTAACTCCTTTTCCTCCGTTGAAGAACATTAATTTTCATGTGCGTGTCTTCTCAGCACAGTTTTCCCATGAACACACATTTTTATCTTGAAAGTCGCGCTCTTTTTATTCTGTTTCCAAAATTATGTAGTCAAACCCTGCGTTGTTTTTAATAACTTTTTTACCTCACTACTGTGGTCTAATTACATAGTTGATTCCTGCGTGCCGTGGGAACTATCGTATTTGTTGTCTGACAGCTTAGATGATGGAGAGTTGTTAGCAGTTTGGTCGGGCTCAATTTCAGTGCATAGTCAATACGTTTATCTATGTTCACTACTACTGTAGGTGGGTGGAGCAATAAGTTTCCGGTCGCGCAAAAAATTTTATTTTTTACAACAATATAAGCATTGCATTCTCTCGAAGTACTGTCCACTAGCGTTCATGTACACTTCCATGCGCTCAAGCCATTTGAAGAAGCAGCTAGACCATACAGAAGCGGCTAACCCTTCAAACAATTCAATAAATGCCTTTACTGCAGCTTCTGGCGACTCTTAGCGGATTCCACGCTTCATGCGCTTAACATTTGGGAACACCAACTGTTACACGGAGCCAGGTCTGGACTGTAGGGTTAATGACCAACCTAGATGCGTTCTCTGGCCAGAAAATCTACGACGACATGGGACCTGTGTACTGGTGCGTTGCCATGAAGCAACAAGCGGCTACAGCTGCCAGCACTTGTGGCAGACAATGGGTGGGATGTCCCTCTCCGGTGACTCGTTGCCGTACGAGCAGTACAATAGCCACATGGCCGGTCTTGGCCACGAACACAGCCAACATCTGCCTGACCACACTGCGCTCACGCCGGCATTTCTGAGGGCGGCCGTCCACTGAGCCGACTGTTGCTTGGTCTCTGGGTCGTAACTGCACACCCACGTCTCATCACCACTGAGGATCTCCCAAATAGCATTGGAATGTCCACAGTCAAACATGGCAGGCATGGTGCAGCACCTGTTCACCCAAGCTGCTTTCTGGTCCTCAATGAGCTGATGAGGTACTCAGCGTGCGCAAATCTTTCTGTGACCGAGGTTCTCATGTAGGATGGTGTGGATCGATCCCGATGAGATCCCCATGGCTTTCCCCAGCTGTACCACAGTCACCCGCGTGTCTTCCTCCAGCATTGCTTGCACAGCAGCAATGTTGTCCGCAGTGGTGGCCTCCACAGGTCGACCACACCGTGCCTCATCATCCAGGGACCGCCTGCCACAGTTGAATTCCGCAAACCACTCAAATACGATGGTTCTTGAAGGCGCATCATCACCAAACGCAGCACGCAATCGCCCACTTCTCTGGTACTACTTTAAACCACATTTGTTGTCATAGGAAATCATCGCCCCCCAGGGACGTCGACTAAGTTCCATACTTACAGTCAGAGTATAGCGACCCTTATGATTTGTGAGCTGTGGTGGGCTGCTAATATAGGGTTCTGTGAGTTCAAATCACTGAACAATGTTCAGAATAGATTGCAGTTCACAGTTTTGTCAGGTCATCTGCAACTTATCTGAGTAGTGCGTATCCGGAAACGTACTACTCTGCCCTCGTATATTCCGACTGCCAAATACCGCTTGTTGTCCCATGTGAACGATGCTACTATCGGTCGATGACGATCGTTTCAGTCCGCAAACTATCCCGGTTGCGCGATAATCTCTACTCTACTCCAAGCCTCACCGATCCAGAGAACACAATTCCGGCACGTGAGCCGAATGTGTCGCATTTCAAAAAGTGGATCGGCATATAGCTGTACAACAATTTTGGATTTTTTAAGGTAGGACAATATAAATGAACCACAACAGTACTCAGAAGCATGTGCGTGAATCAGCAATCCTTGTGAAGCGAACTCGATGCAAGGAGGACAATTTGACAGTGTAAAGATCACCATGAATGTTTTTGATCTAGTCTAGAAAATTTGTCATTCTCAGGGAAACTGACATACTTAATCTTCAACAGGCTTGTAGGTGAGCTTCGTCCTTCTGTTTACTTTCTTTGGGACTCGTCGCCACAGCCCTCCACTTCTACTCGATGGGATGATAAAATGCTCTCCTATTATCACATCACTTGCCCAACTCTCTAAATAGGGTTTGTGGCGAATTGCGTTTCATTGTCGATTGGTGTGTCAGTCCTCTTATTTGCGCAATTCCACGCAAAATCACTCGTTAGGCAATGTGGTTTCCACGCTCTCACGTCTTGAACAACACTCAGCGTGTTCCCCTCAGTGTTGCGGTGGCATCCATCCTGTTGCACATTTGACAGTTGGGCAACACGTGATTGTCCAATATCGGTGTCTCCTCACAACGGAATAGCCTCTATCTTCCCACTTTAACTGCTTTTGGCCGAAATAGCTGGTGCTCAATTCGACACTGTTAGTCCCGTGCTAGAATGGATTCTACTCTGTCCTCTGTGAACGCCTGACAACACAATGGCAGAGTGATCAAGCGGTTTCCTAAGTTGGAATCCCATCTCAAATCTCCACCTGTATCTGAACAGGTGGTGCTGACTTTATTAGAAATTTTACGCCCCACTAAGATTAGTCCACTGGTCTGTTGTGTGAAACATGTTCCCTCCGTGCTGTTAACTTCGTTAGGCTTCACTTGATTCCTTCACCCTACGACACTTAGAAATTATTCCGAATTAAAGTAAGATTGTCTTATCCTTAATTGCCTCATTGTCTTGTTTCTCTTTTTGAGCCGAAATTCAGCTGTCGCATCTTCTACTCCCTGGTTACATCGTAGCATGCTTTGCCGTCTAGTCGGTCCCGCTATCCATCTAGTTGGCATACACATGTTCTCGTCCCTGTAAACTTTCTGCCTCCAGCTTATTCACCTACTGCCTGCAGCTACTCACTGCCTACTCAATCTAATGGGTGCTTCAACTGGCGGATTCCATTCACTCCATCTGTTTTCATATAACTCCTCTGGAAGGGTCACGGAGGTCTCGTTTCCACTCCCCGATTTTCAAGTCTCCATATATCTGCTGACCACGATGGTACCGCTTCCCACCTGTTTGGGATGGGAGGAAGCAGTGGATCAGTCTACTTCATTGATTCAGCTATGATTCGTGCACCGATGTGTGATGGACTCAATTCTCGTCGCCAACATATTAATGATATTGTCATTGATTATTTACGAGAAATGAACGTGATTCAGAATCATTAGGTGAAACAATTAGTAGTTAGAAATGGGAGATCGCATCTAGCTGCTTTACTAAATCCGATAGGGGATATCCAACCGTTGCGGGGTCTGATTCCTAAGGTCTACATTCAAGAAGGTGGCTTTAGGGTGAGTCTCCTCATACTCTTTTGCCATGACGTTGATTGACTACCTCACGGGGTCCCACCCAACTGTATGCGGCGTCTGTACATGATACCTGCCGCGGCAGGCATGTGGTACTCGTGGCCTACTTAGCGTAGACATTTCGAGTTCAACAGTTTGTCTGTTGCCAAACATCAGATGTCGGACTTTGGTCTCACTCATTGGGTGTTCCAGCCTGATATGAGCAAAAATTCCCAGGCATCGGTGGGCAAACACGATCCATCTCCTAACGTCCATAAACACACAGCAGTCATGCGTCAGACGCATTTAGCTATACAAGTCACTGCACGTTGTTGTGAGCTCTTGTGTCAATCGGGAGACTCATATATCTCCACAAGTTTTAGTGATACGTACGGTAGTAGTTCTGGTATTACGATTATTAGAGGTGGTACAGCCATTTAGACGAGTGAACTAGTCGATCGAGTGGTTTTACCATGATTGTGGAAACCTATGATTTGTGGACCCAATCCCGTAGCAATACTTTGCATTTTTTGGGTTCCGCCACGGAATAACACATGCAGTTCTATACGTCATCCCTATTCTACAGCGATTGTATGACAAAAAGGTCCGATTCAACCAGAGCTGTCTTGTTGGCACTCACTAAATTCAATACTCGCTCACCTGGTGGTACTCTTACTCGAACATTAGCGAAAAAAGACATGTGAGAGTCATTCAAGACAATTTAGCTCACAATCTTGAAGAGAAATGGAAAAATATGGCAGTCCTACTTCGCTTCTTTTATCTGTTGAGCTCTGGGGGATTTTCTGCATACCCTGACACCTCCCAAATAGTCGTGATATGTCCAATTTAGCATCTCACTACGAATTCGAACCCGCCTTTCGGAGACAATTATTATCACAGACAAGTGCAGTTATCGAAATCGAAGACAGCCTTGGTACCATGATTGAGCGTTTGCAATTACAATGACATTTTAGGCAACTGGAGAAGAGTGAACTAAGATCAGTGCACCATCGTCTCACGAGAATCAGGGTAGCATGAATCACAAATGTAATTTGGAGGTCTTTGAAGTGAAGCTGCCATCGCCATAATTCTCACAGGATACCTTTTGGTCTTCAAATATGAACGTAACTGCCGACTGCTGCCACTCAGGGGACAATTTCTCTGTGCCAAGTAGTGTCGAACGGAGCGGTCAAAACAACGCTGCCATCGTCTACAAGCCGCGTTTTTATAATGGGATTCGAACTCCATTTCTCCTCGTTGCGGACAAAGCGATTTAGTCAGCGCTGCCAGTGAAACTCTTTACAATAACTTCCATGTATTTTTCTTTGTGTATCTAACGCATAAAGACCCAAGAACAAACTCTCCTCCTGGAAACTGCAAGCAGCAAATACTTTCCGCGCACTTTCACACCACTGTACTTTCTCTCTTTCCCATCTTCTACTTGTTTCGTCTTCTCACGTTATCTAACAAGAAACCTTTGCTTTCCCTAGTCACACCTTCAAACTAAGCCTTCTTTTAAACCAAAATATTATTTCACATCGAGTTTTCAAACATCCACACTCTATGCCAGATCGGTTAGCCAGTGCCGCTCGCACTATATCTACATCTGCTTATGGTTGACACATGTGTCTTCGAAACGCGTACACAAGACAAAAGTGACCCAAGGCATCTATGACTGCCAAGCTAGAATTCTGAT